ATTGTCAGGTATCTCCTGATCCTCCTCCTCTGTAGGATCCTGAATTCATTAAGCTCCTGAGAAGCAGTGTCCGCAAGGACAATTTTTAGAAGCCATCTGCAATTTCTTCGAAAATGTGCCCATTTCTATCCCTTACATGAAAATTCGCATATAGTTGTGACAGAATTCTGAGCTACTGAAAATGGTCACTACTTCAGACAGGCACTCCATAAAACCTGCTTCTGAAGTTCTTTAGAAGTGCAGGATTTAGTGGTAGGTATAAAAACACTGACGCTTTGAGTAAATCTAGAGCCTAAAGCTTTGTCCAGACTTATTAGTTATAAAGCACTCCAGAGCCATTCATTTATTGGGTAGTAGTTGTGGGTCCATGAAAAAAATAACAGGTAAATACTAAATTGATAAATTTTTAGCGTTGATTACAGAGTTTTATCATAGGACAACATTTTGATATAAATTTTACTGAAAAATACAGTTACTTATCAGAATGACTGAAGTTTCATAAAGACTTTCCCTCACTACTGTAGACCATTGCTGCAAATCTTTAACACTTACTATAATTCTTACTTAAAGTAGAAAGTCTAGTAAAGTCTAAAAAAACTTACTTACATTCAATATTGTTGACTGCGCTTCAGGATTTAATTTCAAAGTTTTGCGTTTTCGATTGCCTTGATGTCTGCTACAGCTGTAGTTAATTTACCTTGTTTCCACTTCTGGGTGCGTGACCAATCTGCCCATATACAGTAGAAGAAAAATGACGGGAAGATTATACTAGCAGAATTCCTTCGGAAGAACCTTTTTACATCTTTAAAATCCATCAATCTACAATCAAAAAGCATGAGAAAAATTCACTAGTGAGAAACTAAGAGAGATATACACGATTAGTATGAGCTAGAACGGTTTCAATACAAAAATTCTACTTTGTTTCATCACATTCAAGGCTTCATTTTGCAATCCATCAAAGTTCTATAAACCCTATCACGGGTCATCACCTGTCAGAAATGGAGAAACTTCCTGACCATGATACTGGCCGAGGCATGAGCCTGTCATGTGGGACAAGGAAAGCCCTCTGGGAACAAAGAAAACTGGAGAGTATCTGTTGGATTTTTCAATTTTTGGGAGTATCAACAGTGGAAAAGTCCAAATTATTAGGGGTAGTGGAATTTTTTTTTGGTCTTAGGAGGAAAATAATGGACCAGACAAGGTACTAATTTCAGCATTCTGATGCATGTTTCTTCCACCAAAATTTCACAAAGAATACGCTGCGCACAATGAAAATTACCGGAATCAACTCATTCCGAAGATATTTAATGATTCTTGGTGCAGGAATTGAAACCACCCTCTCATGAAAACTCAATGCTCTACATGATTCACATGGCGCTAAACGTTATCATGAATGTCTCTACGATAAAAAAATCTGGCAAGGGAAATGAACATTGCTCGATTGAGAAGCTTGCAGAAACTGCTGTAGTGCGCGATTTGACTCACGTAGAGCTTTGAGTTTCTTGTGAGTGGGCAGTTCAAATTCCTCGTAATCAATGTGAAATAAAAACGTTAATATCTCTGTTAGGAGTTGGATTCAGTAATTTTCATTGCGCGAATCATATTCTACGTGAAATTCTGGTTAAGAAACATGTATCAGAATGCTTCAGTTCGTACCTTGTCTAGTGGTCAATTGTGGGCTTGGATTAAAAATTGAGGAAGGCTAATTGATTTTGAGGGGAAGCTTGGAACTTTCCAAACCCTTATAATTAAGGCGCTGCATGAAATGACAGAATTAAAAAACTTATTAGTAAACGCTGACCGATTTAATTTACAAAACAAAATTCCAGAATGCTGGTGCACTTGCGCTAGGGATGTCGATACTCGAAGAAGTATCGATACTCGGTATCGATACTGGTATCCACTCTACGCATCGATACCGGTATCGAGCATCGAGCTGAAGTATTGATACTTTTGAGGTATCGATACCATCGATACTATTTCTAAATTATGCTTTAATTCAGAGTGAGCGTATGTCTGTCGGCCGTTTAATTTCACCAGATATACGCTCCTCTCCAAACCGCCCTTATTCGCATGATTAGTCAACTATAATGAGCCCTTTACTACTGTCATTAAATCGAGCTTTTAACATTTATAACAAATGTAAGCATCTTGAGAAACCAGATTACTCCGTCGTCTGTCACAGTGCACAGTGAAGGTGAAACAGAAGAGAGATAAGTTGTTAAACTAGGAAAAAGAGGCCTTCTTCATGGCTAAATCAGATTAAGTATTGATACCATCAATATTGGGGTTTGAGGATCGATACTACATGGTATCAATATCATTGAGTATCGATGAGTATCAATCAAAAGTATCGACAACCCTAACTTGCGCAATGTCACATTCACTGGTTTCATTTTTCCTTCAACAATAAGTTCTGGCGACCATGTAAAAAATAGAGTCCCTTTAGTAAAAAATTTCTTATCCCAGATTGAGTTCGAGCTAGCTGAGAGTGCACTTTACTCAAATTCCTGAGGGTTGGTCGATCTTCTATAAGATATGCTCAACCCATCTTAAAAATTGTCTTAAGAAGGCTACTTTCTACTCTGTGTAACAACAGAGTGGAGTTCTCTCGATTGGGGTTAGAAAGCATTCGGAGAAATATGAATCCCTTGTTTACGATTAGGTTACACTTAGATATTTAATGGGAAATCTCCTGACTCGTTCTGAAAATTGGAAGACGAATCAGTCCAATGGTAGAAAATGAACGTTGGTCCACACAGAAGAGGAACGCAGATTCTGCTCTGCTGCGACTCGACAAAGAAGGAGTCTAAACATGCGTAACAAGATGGACAATAGCAGTATAATCACAGAACAACAAGAACTAAACACTGAATGAGATGAAAATATAACATACTCTATTTTTTTGCGCTGCTGGGATTATGAAACAACTGCAACGAGAGGGTTGGAGAAGGGAAAATAACCTGGCAAAGACGTGCAGTACAAACCAAGTTGCTGCAACTGGAGGGATGAAACTCGAAAAAGATACAAAGAATTATTGAATTTTACAAGTCTTACCCATTAAGAACTCGGAAGAGATTATCCTCCGTATAAAATAAATTCACTAAAGTATTCTTTATGAGTGATTACGCAAAATCCGCAATGGACATGGACTACGGCCGCTGCGCTGCGCCAACCAAGGTTGATGGTCGAGGTGGAAACAATCAGGTTCAATACATAAGCGATTCTGAATACTATTTACGTCATGTAATACTCGGACATGAGGAGAATTCCTCCACCTTGCATGCTATGACGTAACTGAGATTCAATTTCCATCCAATCAACGGCGATTCTTACTATCAGTCGCAACCCTTACTACATGTGTCCCTTCTGCAAAATGTTTATTATTTTGATTCTAGACTGGAGTGATAAGAATGGGAAGATAGAATTCATGCCGTTCAATTGCTTTTAATTATTTGAAATCGATCCAAATTTTGAGCACTATTTAAATTGTGTGAGCATCTCCAAATTCGGTTTTTTCCTCGCTTAATCAAGTTATTTGGAGCTGCGGTCTCAAGCGACTATTTGTTTCATCTCTAATTTCATCCAGTTTATTTTTAGTGGGATGTAAGAGTTCAATTGTTACAGAAAGATCAGGTTTAGGTGAGCATAAATTTATGGTTCAAAATTCCTCTAACTCTTCTTTTCTAGCTGTGGCTACTAGCCTAGCGTCCCTAACAGTGAATTAAAGATTTTTGCAGACCTACATGGTGTGCACCAATGACAGTTTTGCGAAGGAACGCGTGCACTTACTCATTACCCGACGATATCGCCAATTTTAACCTACAAATTGTCGTTGAAAACCTCGTTTCATGTGTTTTCGTTCATGTGTTTTCGTTGAAAACCACATTTCATGTGTTTTGAGACGTTTCCGCCACCGTATTTTACCTCTCTGTGAAGTTAGAAACCAACTCCTGCCGACAGGAAGATCAGAAACTCGATATGCCCAGGGGCCGGTAATCTGCATAATAACCACTCATTCATTTAAAACAGAATTTTAGCTCTTATGGACGTTGCGCAAAATATACTTACTTCAGGCACAGTCCATCAATAAAAATAGCTACAAGTGGCTGTTAATTTGTCAAGAGCACCATGGAGAAGAAATGTAGCCCCCTGAGATTCTCTGAAACACAGAAGTTCTTGAGTGTTCCCCTCGATTCAACTGTGTTGTTACTAAGGAGGGGTGTTTTACAATAGCACATAATCCATGCTTTAGTCTCATTCAATAAGATCTCGGAATATTGTTCTGAAATAACTTCCTTAGAGTGTAATGGAGTGTGATTGCAAACGGGGCTTTGAAGGAGGGAGATTCTAGTTGATGTGCACCCAGTTTAGATCAAGAATTTTTTAAGTGTTAAAACTTTTTTTTTGTGGTCATGATTTAAAAAAAAAAAATTACCTATGCAAGACTGTGTCTCTCAAAAAATTTGAGTAATCCTTGATTTTCAGAAGAAAATCTTACTCAATTTATATTAGTGGATAAGTTGCGTTCCTTGCTGATTTTTGGTCAGCGCGTAATTTTTATCTTTTGGTAAAAATCCCAGAGGGAATGAGTCTTTTCTAAGCTTATCTCGAAATTCTAAGACAATTTGTATGAAAACCTTTCTTTGATTGCTATGTTAATTGCTTCTGTTTAAAGATAGCTGCTGCAAGCTACCTAGCTTTTGTTGAACATTAGTGAGGGTGAAGATTTTAGAGAACATTTTCATCGGCACATCTAAGTAACCTAAGGAAGTTTCAATCACTCCAGTTTTACAAATTTTTAATTCCAAGATATTAAAATCAAAATTTTTCAAATTCAGCTCTATCCAATTTCGCCAGATTTATTCCGTCAACCGGTGAAGTTAATTACTGAAATTTAAACATCAGAAGATTAGACTGCCACTCATTCATAACCCAACAAACATTGAGTCTAACCTTTGATCAACTTCTTTTGTTCTCAGAAACTGATGGCTGCCACAAACACGTATGTCCTGAAGGGGGACGATGCCACAAACTCTCAGTTTGTCAATATTGTTGCCAACATTAGTCAAGCGATGCAAAAAATGACCACTGTGTTCGTACAACAAATGCAAGTTATCGAAAATACCTTGGAGCTTCTTGTCACTTCAGGGGATGATGTACGCGTCAAGACTAATTTTTCTGACAGTCTGAAGTTGCCAAGCCTTAATAGTAAGGATATGCATCCATGCTGCGATAAGGTTTTGAGTAAGCTGTCTATTTTAGAAGGAGTTGTTCAAAAACTTTGCGAATCATTTTGTACTGATGTGAAAACATCCGAAAAATCTCAATCTAAAAGCACGTATGTACTTTTTTCAAATTCTTTTAATGACCATTGAGTTGTTATCGCAGAGATTCCATTCATTGACACTGTTAGTTTTAATTTTCCAATTTCATGATTATCACGTTTTTTGAATACTCAAGTAAGTATCAAAATAAAGTCCAATACTTAGTTTGAATTGACTCAGAAAAAAAATTAAAAGAAAGCTTTTTGTTTCAAATGTATAATGCAATACGTCTACTGTGAAACTGCAAATATTCTTATCTCGGTTGTGGTGTTTCTAAGTCTCTGCTACTTTTTTATTTATGAAAGGAGACCAAACCAATATTATGGCTCGAAATTTTCACAGAATATTCTTCTCCTGAAGTAGAAAAGTCACAGAAGTTTTCAAAAAATGACGTTTTGTAATTTTCCATGCAGAAACTTAAGTATGACAGGAAGTCTGCAATTCCGCAAACCAAGATACGCATTTCCACAGCCTTGCTATTGATATCCTCTTCCAGCATGCACCAATCTTACCTTTTAATCCTGAAGTGCCCCAACAACAAGTTTGGTTAGCAGTAGATTTCCTTTCCTTCTCAGTTATTTCTTCTAAGGCCAGGCGGGTGAAGTGCAAGTGAGAAGCAAGATTTCAGCTCTTGCCACTGATCCTCTATTTAATTGACTGAAAGTTCTCAGAGTTAATGAATCACTTTTTGACGCAGCAATCACTCTGACTTGATTTTTTCTCTTTTTGGTCACTTATTTTTTTTGCTTAAACCTATTTTTATTTTTTTGTAATATTGCTTTCATTTATGCTCAATTTCAGGAAACTGAACACACCTGTTGTATTACTTACGGACACCAATTGCCGGAAACCAACTACCGTTCAAGCGCAAGTATCCCTTGACTCTAGTTTTCAGATTATCACTTTGAATGCTGAAGACGATTATCCTGGAGGATCATGGTTAGGAGACGAAGATATTGCTGAGGCTAGAGTTCGAGTTCCCATCTCTCCAGGGTAAATATCAGATTATCATATTTTCATAACATCAGTGTGACACGTTGGAAAATGTAAGTCTCCCTTGCAACGTTTCAAAATCGCCGATCATGTTTTATTTTTGGATGGCGTTATTCGGCGGTACAGTAAGTACGGTGGTCTAAGTTTTGCTAAGGTGCCTTTAAAGGATAACTTTATGACTGCTAACTGGAAAATTTCCTACCCCTAAGGTGCCTTTACCGGATGACTTTTTAACCGCTAACTGGAAAATTTTCCTCCAGTAAGATGCTTCCACCAGAGGAGCAAGCAAACGCCATCTACAGTGATCTATTGGTATTATCTATAGAAATTATGTAAATAAGGAAAAGGAAATCTTGGACGTGCAAAAATCAATGACCCACCATTATTTGCATCAGAAACTGGCTTCGTAGTTTCAGGCTGCCGTAAAAATTTTGCACCTTTTCCCTGATCAGTTGTGTTTTCTTCAAGTTGTTGGCTGCATGTAATAGCAATGCAATATCTGTAAGTTTTTTAAGTGCATTTATCTGCAGAAATTTAAAGTGTGTGCAGAGAACAGTTAGAGTTTACGCGAACATCGGATCACTTGAATACCTCAGTGCATTTACATTCAGCCTGAAATACCTGGCATTATGATGTTACCTGTAGCATGTATACCTACTGTTGGCAGCTTAGCAGTACGAAATTTTCTGGTTAGTGGTTAAAAAGACATCCGGTAAAGGCACCTTAGCAGTGGGAAGTTTTCCGGGTAGCAGTTATAAATTCATCTGGTAAAGCACCTTAGGTAAATTAGGCACCTAGCACCTTAGGGCACCTTAGGGTTAGGATAATAATTTTTTAGTCAGGGTATTGTACCGCCGAATAACATTTGATTCGACGGTACCATACTGTCGAATAACCACTTCGTTTATTTTTTGCGAAGAAAAAGAATCAAAGCAAAAGCAGCACCTTGAAATTTTTTGTGAAAATTGTTTAATTTGTAAAGGGGATTCACAGAAAATTTCAAGGAAATTTGCAGGTTTTCTAATAAGAGGAACCCCTAGCGGACATGTACAATGTTTTAAATGGTTGTGTACATTTCTCCACTTCAGCCATGTATATTTCGAAAATTGCAAGAGAATTTGTCCAGCGTGTGTTGAAAAACATAAAAAATCCAAGAGTATCTGAACAAAATTAACCAGATTCAACCAATTAGGAAGAATCAACCGGAGTCATGTTGCCTAATTGCCTCTTGTGTCGAACTTTTCAACTGAATGTTCTGAAAGATTCGGAATCTTTCTTAAATTATGAGGAATTTACTCACGAAATTTTGCTGAGTTTCCTGTCCGGAAAAAGGAGAATTTGAAAAGAAACTAGGAATCATGAGATGGAGTCAAGATAAAGCTTTCTACTTAATGAGTGACTAAATCAGGAAAAGAAAGAATAAATCTTTCCAAATCGAATTTGGGATTACCGCCATTGATTGTGAAGGATGAGGAAGATGAGTGCATTGTCAGTTTTTACCTCTGGAAACTTCTAAGTGTGTGAAACTTCACGCCAAGAAAAACGCATCCTAAAACCTTTCTGTATAAGATTTTATAGGCAAAGGGTATTTAAGTCTCAGGGTTTGCTTGCTATCAATGAATGACCACTGGCCTACAGAGAATATGACAACATCGACGATGGCCAAAGCAGACTGAAACAGCACTCCTTTTGGTCAAAAATACACCAGCATAGCAAAAGGAATAGAACCCTGTGTATCACCCTTGTCTATATGTAACAGTCATCCAAACAAAATTCCTTATAGCTTGTCTCCTCTGTACATTTTCATGAAACTTTTGCGAAATGAAATTGCTCAATTGAACTTCATCCCAGCATTCTCAAAAATCAATGAAATAGAATTGATGAATGAGGAAGATAAAAGACTGTAAAAACTCGTCCTAAGTTTGTTTGACTGTGACAATTCATGTTACGAACGTCAGTATACATTGTCTTTGCGCTGTTGCGGAGGGATAGGAGAATAGGTGTTATAAAATTGTTCTAAAATTATTTCTACTCCCAAACTTTATTCATCATTTTGCAGGATCTCCGCCATTCTGAGAAAGTCAGGGAATTTACAGTAATCTGGAAAAGTCAGAGAATTTTGCGAGTTGCTTGTCAGCTAAGCAATTTGAGTCAGTGCCATTTAAGGGAGCTCTAACAGCTTCTGAGTGCCTTTTCTCATGATTGGAATCTACAGTTGAGGAAATTTTATCCAAAGTTTAGCAAAAGTTAGCGGTAATTAGAAAAAAATTGGGAGGTAATTTTTTTCTAATGTAAAGGAAAGTCTAGGAATAAGGAAATTTTAAAATCAGGAAAAGCGAAAAAATCGAGGATGAGTCAGGGGATTTCGGAAAAAAACAAAATCATGGAAACTTTGTTCTGTGGTAAAAACGTACCTTTTGAACGGAGTGCACAAGATAAATTATATTAACAATAAAAAATATACAACTGATTAACAACTCACGTGCACATTCATTTAAATTAGCGTGCAAGTAAGTTGTTAATCATACATATTTTTACTGTTAAACCCGTTTTGTAACATGTAAGTAGTTTGTCTTGATTTCAAGAATATATAAGACGGGGTCTTATTTTCAATCTCATTGTTTTTTATTTTTTCTGAATGTCAAGTTTTTTTCTCTTCTTTTTTTGTAACAGCACTCTGCAGCAAATTAACACTGCTTGTCAAACTCCTGAAAAAATGGCCATTACTCTTCTTGATTACTTGTTCACAAGAGAAACTCTTGCAGTTTCAAATTTGTCTGGTAAAGGCAAACATGGCAAAAAACAGCTTGATCCGTTGTTGGTAAGTATGCTGTTTACTTTGTATTTTTTTCCATTCTGTATTCTTCATTGTTAGTAGTCTGCTTAGTTCTGTTAGTAGTAGTCTTAGAGAATAATTGCCTCATTGTTTCTCATCAACAACCCCATAACTTATTTAGTTCTCCATTGACTTTTTCATCTATCTATCTTATCCTCAAGATGAGAATAGAAGTTAATCTAGACAAAATCAATGGTACCATCAATTTGCGAAACTCCCATGTCTCAATATGTAATCTGCTCTCGTGCTGATGTGTAATGTACCTAACCAATGTGTTTTTTGCAAAGTTCCATCTAGGATCGATTGGTTGAATTGAAGCTCCAGACTTCAGCATGAGCTTTGATCCTCTTGGATTATTTTCATAATATCCAATATTTTACTTTGTTTTCTAAGGATCGTTTATTTTTTTTTTCTTACAAATTTCCAGATTTATGCAATTCGTTGCCATCTGATTTATAAATTTCGTATCACAGAAAAAGACTGGTGCCGTATAAAGCAAAACATGGACTCAAAATGTCGAACTACGTGGCGGAAAAAATTGAGAGGACAACCCCTGGGCGGAAGATCCAAGGTACCATTTTCTCTTTTTGTAGAGCTTACGATGAATGCAACTTTCGGGGGGGGGGGGGATTTCAGTATTGAAATAGCTTCTAATTTAAAAGTAGGCTCATTTAATCCAGTGCTTGTGGACTGGATAAATACTGGATGAAAGAGAGAGGTAAATTTGTACTTGAAGGATATAAGGAGGAGTAGGTACGTAAGTGACATTTTGGAGAAGAGGGGGAACACTTCTCCCTCATTCCTTTATAAATGAATTCATCATCCTCAACACCTGCATTCTACAAAAGTGGTTTTTTAGAAAGATGGAAAACCAAAAATGCATTAGCCCTGGCTTCTGTTGTAAATATTGTCGAGCATGGGGTATGTCTATCAGGGCTTTCGAATTCTAATATTTTTCGTGCGGAGAAGGCGATAGTCCAAATACTTATGCTTCTGCTAGACATTACTAACAAGGGAAACAAGGACTCGTGAGTTTTTGGACTTCCGCCTTTGGAAAATACACAGTACAATTGTGTTAATGATCAATCGATGTTAAAGTGCAATGAACATACCAACCAACTACTTATCTTTATTGTATGACTTACATCTTTTCAGCTACCTATTCAACCCAGTTTCTCATCGACAATGGTAAACTGTAACTCAGATTCCTCTTGTGGCAATTTATCTGGGAAGTCAGAGCCGGAGATTCTTATGAGGATTGATAGTGATACCATCAGTCTTGCAAGCCCATTCATCCGCGAAGATTATGAGGATGTTGGTACAGGAGTAAGTATTCACCATAGCAAAGAAATCTCCTAAAGAAAATTCTTCCCCATTTTTTCACCTGAACAGAAATGTAATCTATTCTAAACTCTGAATACAGAAAAAATGATAATATATGAAATTATAGACATTTTATTTTATGGATGTTTACATCTCATTCAACTGTCCACAGAAACAGGAATGGATGAAAAAAATAAATTTTAATAGGGCAATTTTTGTTGAATTTGTTTGAAAAATCTTATTTTTGTTATTTGCCATAGCCCCAATAAGACGCTCTAACAATTTGTCCTGATTAAATCAAATGATAAGTAATTCATGATTCTTTTCTCTCTTTTTGTATTCCACAGCTTTTACGAACTGTTGACGGAGAATACAAAGTCATTCGAGCATCCCGCGAACAGTTAGAAAAGATTCAGAATGCTCACTCAGTGTTAGAAGTCTTTGAAGCAAATGATCAGGTAAATCAAATTTTATATTCGAAGAACTTTTTTGTACTTATTACGTATCAGGCAAGTTCCAGTTCCAAGGGAAAATACATTCAAAAGGTCTAAATGCCCTCACATGGTTTGTTCAAGTGAATGTAAATGAAAAAGCTTTGCTGTTGCAAGGTTTCCTCAGGATCGTAAAATGAGATATAGGGACTGACACATAAGCCAAAAATGAAAGTATTCTATCCTGCTCTGTAAAAATCACTTTGTCGCCATGGACTTAGGTCCCCTATCCTGTGGACAAGCCGAAGTATTTTACAGATCTCATTTATCTCAATATGTGTGTTGTAACCAGTGTTCGAAACTCACAGGCGCCAAATGCGCCTAAAAAATGAAGGTTCTGCGCCAATGTGGCCCCTAAAAATTGCCCCTTAAAAATTTGAATTTTCATATCAAGTACTTATTTGAAATTTTCAGCACCATAAGTGAAAGCTTCTTCTATTCCTCACGATTTTATCCTTTGTGCTTTTGTCTTCCCCAAGTTACAGCTACTTACCAGTTCTGTTACGAAAATATCTTGCATTTAACTTTTCACTAAATGCGCCGTAATATGCAGGCAAAAAGTCAATTTGGCCCCTAAAAAATCTTCAATGGCGCCGAAAAATCGGGCTTGATGCGCCATTTGGCTCCTAAAACTCCAAGGTGAGTTTTGAACACTAGTTGTAACTTATATTCAGACTTTACTCGGTGGTTTTCTGGAGTGTCTCTATGCTTGAATCTTATGTCTTTTTACTCTTTCAGGGCCCCTTACTCTCTGAGGAGGACACAAGAATGACCCTTGACGATCCCTCTGAAACTACGCTAGTCACAGACGATGATCAAGAAGTCAGTGTCCTAACCGTTGAAGGTGACTTGAACATCGACTGCAATTGAGAAGTAACCTCCAAACTTGCAAAAGGGATCTTAGCGCTCTTCAAGTTGATTTTGAGAGCTTCCTATTTACCCCTCGTAAAGATGCTTGTCAAGATGTTGTCAGCATTTTAGCTCTCCCTTGCAGAAGGGATTCCAGAGTTGTAAGTTGATGACTCAATCTAGATTGACCCTGTAAGATGATACGAGGTAACACACCATAAATCGTTTGTTGTGAACTGTTGAAGAAGTAACTGTTATGTGAGAATTGGTTCCGACTGATACGTAAAAATTCTGGTCAGGTTCTGATTGGAAGCTAGATTTTGGAGAGGAGTCGAAGAGAATTGGCAGTGTTTGGGCGCACTGTTGATAGTCGATCGATTGATGGATAATTTTCATAATTGAAACCATTCTTTAACGCCATTTAGTCAAATTATGTTGTCGTGCCTCAAAAACTGATCCAGGCCATTTTCTTCGGAAAATATTGTGTAATAACTTTAAAGACACCACAGAAGAATATCCCCGATCATTAGACAAAATGATCTGCAATATTGTACTAACAGCATGGTTTGACTTTCAATAATTTTTAAAGGAATCTCTTTAAATCCAGAAATGATCAATGATTCAGTGACGGTGAAATTGTTCTTCTACTTACAATGGTACCACCTTAAGTTAGAATATACCAAAGACCTTGTACAGGTAACTATAAATTTAATTTTGCTGACAGTCTAAGCTTGGCATCTGTAGGATTTTTCTTGGAAATTGTCTGAAGTTAGATTAAGGTCTAGTTTCCTGTGGCTTTAAAGTGAGGCTTCTTAGACACAGAATTTTGTGCCAGACCTTTGAACAGCGCCACAATTTTATTTTTAGCTTCATGTCATAAAATCTAAGTCAAGAGCTTCAATCGGTGAATCAGGATGAAATTTATGTCTCAAATACATGAATGTAAACAAAAAAAGTCCATCTACTTGAGGACTTTTTTAAATAAGACATGTATATAATAGTTTATGATTGGTGACTGGAATGCGCACAAACTCGAATGAGAGCAAGTCAAAATCTGAGATGAGGGAAACGAGGAAAATTTGCCGCATTAATTATAACTATATTAAAAATCAGGGTTAGTCAAGGGTTTTTAACACTCCTGAAGATAGCCTCCTTTTGGGTGAAGCCGTTGTTATTTCTCGATAAATGGACATGGGTCATCATTTTTTAGAATGAGAGATATGGTGACGCCAGAGCTGGGAACCTCAAGAACTACACTGCATCCCTGCTCACCGCTTATAATGCATTCATTTTGACTAATTGTTTCAAAGCGCCCTCTGGTACAGTGGTTATGAAGCTCGTCTGTTTTGCTGATCATATATGAGGACCTTTCTGGCCAAACAGCATATACGCATCTATATGCTGCTTTATCAAAAATTCGCGATAAGGATAACTCATACCCTGGACAAGGCACCACTCGAATTTCATGTCAATAGCTGCAAAAAGACGGCAGATATGATTTTTTCGGTGCCCAAAGGTTGACCCACCAGTGCATTTCTGAATTAACAGCTTATAATTATGCATATTACACCTTTGCTCAAAAATTCTGTTTACAGAGCATCATATCAAGGTGTAAAATAAACGGTTTACGTTTTTCCACCTTTTCTAACCCACAGGAATCATTTTTAAGGGGAGGAGGGGGAAGGGGTGTAACACAAATGAATAAATTACCTGGGAAAAAACCCCACTTTACTGTGTTGTTTTCCGTTTTCTAACAGCTTTGGAGCCATGGGAGTTGGAGTTGAGAGCCAGAAGGGTTATCTTTCTTTGTCATCATTAAAACCTAATTGTATCACCTCGTATCGCACTTTTCTCTCAGAAACACCCTATTTTTGAGCAAACAGCATATAACTTAACTTTCAAAATTAATAATTGCAGACCAGAAATAACATTTTATACCTCTGTTTTGGATAGATTTCAGTCCTGAGGGATTTATTGATAGAAAGAAACCATTTTTGGCTTAGTGCCAACGACTCTTTGAAACCTGAGTATGAATGAAAACTGTAGATATGATTTTATGAAACCTGCTTTTTTCGCCGTTTGTTGTTTGGTCGGAAAAGTCCTCATATATCTTCTGATCTTGTCTAAAAAGATTTTACCTGTTTGAACGGTACATTTTTTTCATGTGGCGATGTTTATTCAACAAGTTGCTGCCAGACAAAATCCTAGACTATTTTGTTAAATAAATTGTTTTTGCACAACTTGCCTCTGTGTACAATCAATATATTTTCAATTCCTACCGATGAACCTTTCAAATATAAAATACAGGTCTTTTACTACCGACAGGCCACTTACATCAAAATTTAAAATTTTGACATTTTTTTTAATTGATTAAAGCCTCTGGAGGTAGGAGTACCATTACACATCTTTTTTTAAATTCCACAATCAGAAAAGATAATTGGCCAAGAATATTGCTAATTTTTTGCAAAATAGGCTCATAAGGTGCTGTAACAGTGTACTTTGATTGTGCTGTAACAAAATTTCTTCTCATATAATATAAAATATATTTTCAAAGGAGAATAAGCAAACTTTATTGCTACAACTTTGCATAAAATATTCTTTTTCGGAAGGAGAGAATTGTCGTAAATTTTCAAGAGATTGTGATAATTGGTTTCCCAATTAATTAATTAATTAATTAATTAAGTATGATAGGTAGCCAGTGACAGTGCAAACTGAGGTATGTCATTTCAGATTTTAGCCGTCGATATTTCATTGTCCCTATATATTTGCCTCTAAAAAATTTGGAGTTTGCTGTTACGCAGCTGCTTTTTGAAGTTTCCCTCAACACTGGAGGCCTCTAACATATGCCTTGCCCATCGAGGTCTTCAATAATGACATTCAGCGCTGATCATATTTTCCGGGCAATACATCCTAATAGCAATGACCTCTCATAATTTTTTTTAATTAACTTGTGAATTTTACATGGTTTCTAAAAATTGGACAGTTCAGTAAATTTACAGCGACCTAGAAATGTCAGAAATTCATGGGAAAGAGCAAGGAATTTTGTCAGTAGCCAGTTGTCTGAGCAACTTCAGTCAGGAATATTCTAGAGATCACGAACAACTTCCGAGTGCCTTATTTTATAATTTGAAACTCAAAAATTGGACATTTTGTCTAAAGTGCAGTCAGAGGCAGCGTAATCAGATGAAAAAAATTCTAGAGGAAAGTTTTGTTCAAAGGTGAGAAAGAGTCAAGGAATTCCAAAATTATAGAGTCACAGAAAAGCAAAGAAAGTCAGGGAATTGAAAATGACAGCAATTTTGGAAACCACAATAAAAAAGACGATTCTTAAAAAACCGTTCAGACTTATGTTTCAGGAAACGCCTTATGAATACCTTTTAAAGAAAAAGTAACACGTCCTGACATTTAAGTGAACCAAAAAGTTAAAAACTCTTCTCAGATTCATAGTGGTTAACACTTGAAATGTTTTCAAATCATTTTCAACAACTCTTAAAAGAAGAAGTAGTTTTTTTGAAACTCTTTTCTGCACTTTCCATGAGGTCAGTATTTTACTCGAGACAATATTCTTTTAATGGTCTGCGTTATTGGGGTAACTGAGAGAGATACAAAACATGACAAGATGTAAAAAAAGATTTGTCTCTTCATTTAATAACTGATTAATTTACTTTTACTATAAACGGTCTGTTCAAAAAAATAATAAATAAATAAATTATTAAAACACAGAAAATAAAATTAGAAATTGGTGTATAAATAGTTAAAAAAAGAAAAAAATGAGGATTACATATTTACTAACACTGTTTGATCGCAACTTAAAAAATTATAAATAGATGTAAAATAAGAATAAAAATTTAATACATTATAAATGCCAGAAAAAATATAAAATATGAACGTAAGTAACGCAATACTTTACAATGTGGATAATCTGAATCAACTCGCTAAAATAATTTAAACAACACAGCTTCATTGCTAAAAGTTAACGATTATCTGTTATTTGTAAGCGAAAGGACAATCATTTGTTGAGCATGGGTTTGCTGATTGGCCACTTTTCTTCCGAGATTTGGCATCAGGTTTTAGGATATTTTCATGTTTTGCATTGAACTCTCCAGTAGCTGAAACAAGCAGAAAATGTAAGCACTATTAAAAATCAAACAAAGATTTTGCTGGGTGATAAATGAACTTTTCACCTGAGAACTAATCCTCTTTCCATTTCTTCTAATGATGATTCACTGGCTTTCACTCCAGTTGTGAAGCCTACAGCCATCTACAAAAAAAATGTATAATTTTCAGGGGTTTGAATTAGTATTATTTGGTCGTACTGAAATCATAAAGAAGTACATACATTCTGACATGAGCCATGTCATGCATGAATTTGTATGGATCTCAGGCCTTATGCCAGATTTAAACAGGTCCGTTTGTATGTAGTTGCAGGGATAGAGTATGTATGTTTGGATAGTTCTAGAAGAACAGCACCGTTTACACAAAAAGAGAATAGGCGATATGAAACGAATTTACCCTAAATTTGGTTCAAACTACCCACTCTTTTACTTCATTAGTTTTGAGGGTGGACGCCACTGGGAGTTGGACAAACCACCTAGCGCCAGCAAAACATCTCCATTTCAGGGCACCACCAGCATTGATTATCTTGTTATTGTTATTAATACTCGTTTAAATTTTCATTTTCATCAATGTTCCGTTTGGTCTCAAGAAAATTATTGCCGGAGCACAATGTCAGTAAAAGAGTTCAAAGATATTGACTGGAACGTTCCATTTCCTGAAGAGGAAATATTATCAACAGTGAGATTTTATAACCACATATATAGTTTTGAAGCTATGAAGACTTCATATCATACTCCATAATTTTAATGGAAAACTGTTAAAAGATCCCCTTGAAAACTTGTGATTCTCCTTTTCTGAGTGAAGAATTTTCAGTGAAAATTTTGGAGAATAATGTTGATTTCTTAACAGCTAAAAAATGAGAGAAAAAAACCAGGATAAATTGTAACAACACAATTCAGATAATTGGTTTCGAAATTTCACTGTCAAAATTTATAGTACACAGTAGAAGTTAAGGACAGATAACTTTTCTTCTCTCATGACACTGAATAGAATTCTTACATTTAAATCCCAAATGACGAGCTGACCGTCGAGGCCACTGGTACTAAATTTTGCTACATTGCCATTGACTCCGCTAAAAATTTTGGTGCATGTTATTGCATTTTGATGTATTGTTTCTAGAGATGTATTGACCTCTACTTTAGCTTGTCGGTCCAAGCTCTGAAACTTGCGCATTGCACTGAAATGACAAATAAAACAGGGTTATAAAAAAATTCACTAGAACTATGAAGTCTAATTAACTTGGAAATATTAAAATGGCACAGTGAGTCTTGTTTCTCCCTGAAATAAAAATTAAGAATATCTTCAAGGTTGTGATTTAACTGATTGAACTGATTTTCAAGACTTTCTTGAAAATAATAGTCAGACAAAATGTTGCATGTCGTTTTGAAGATAAAAATATTGATCTTAACTTCGTCAGGAGTAAATTTCAAGTAAATAGAGGGTTTGTTAATTCACAATAACTTTTTTTGCGATTCTCTCCAACAAAATTCTACCAACAAATAACATTTTTGATACGAAAAATACTTTTCATAAAAATCATACCCCAGAAAGTACTGACTACATGGCTATGCTAAATCAATGCATACATAAAGGATTTAATTAAATCCAATTTCGAAGAAATTCCAATTGCATCTTTCTATTCTAGTAAATATCTGATCAGATACTTTGGAGTCATGCCTAAACTTTTAATATCCAGCTAATTTCGACCAAGAAAATTAATTAAAGGTCGGCATTACAAGAAAAGAAAAAATATGATTAAAAGTAGGGGTCCAGAAGTTCCTGGATTGCAGGATTGTGATCTTGGGGCGCTTCTGCCCTTTTTTTGTGTGCAAGCAGTCGAGAACAAGGAATTTATTAAGATAGCAGTCAAAGTTTCTTTTTATTCAATACATATTTTCTTAATTTTTCAGTTCTCTAAGAGCAGGAGGGAGCATTGGTTTTAGTGGAACACATTGACTAGCAACTTGGTTTTTGTGAAGAAAAAATGAATTAACCCAACACGTTCTTTTATGTGAAGAAAAATGTCGAACACACTACTTTTTTGTGAAAGCAGGGTCTTTCCTACACACTGAGCCTTTTCACTAGAAGGATATTTTCGTGAATGTACCTTGATTTGTGTGAAAGCAAAGAGCTTTCTGGGCTCCTGATTAAGAGAGACTGCAAAATTTCAATATTCTAAGTCTAATTTGTTACAATTTTGATGTAGCAGTAGCAAAAAACATTTTGAAGGTATACCTGTTTTTACCATCAATTTTTACTATTTTCACCTAAAGAGCGAGCTGCTTCCAAAAGTTTAAAGGAATGGTCGATAAGATGAAACCAACTTGTATCAACCCTAATGACCTGGATCCATGTCGACAGCAGAGCACAATCCACAAAATAACTTACCTGATTCCTCCAGATTCTTTCTTTTGCGATGAGTCCAACTTGCACACGAAAGTAATTGAGTTCTTTGCGTTCACTGAGAATAATAGCGGACAGCAACTGTACCCCTGCAAAAATAAAATTAAAACAAAATTATGTCATTTATTCCGATGAAAACCATTAAAATTAAAATTATAATATATTCTGAAGAACGAATCAGAAATTTATCTCTAGATTTTCTCGTAGTTTACTTTTATGTGTAAAATTTTACAGCTAAGAAAAAGATTAAAATTCAGACTAAATTTTAGCATTTTTGTAGAGAATTCAAGCTGAAAATGTATCAATAATGGAAGTTTTGAAACACTACAATTGAAGTAAGTGTCCATAATACTTTGTTTGATTTGCATTTTTTATTATAGATTTAAACCAAGAAAAATTTTAAATGAAGGTATTTTTAGTGAAGTCATCCTCATCCTTAAAGAGCAAGACCAATGACCCTCCAAAACCAATCGCGAGAGGTCGCAAGCGCATGCTAAGCTTGCAATGCGGCAAAAGGGATGAAAGGTACCGTCTGGTCTTCCCCCTCTCCGTCGCTCTCACACAAGTCATCGCCAGTGTTGGGTAGCAGGTAGCTGCCTGACTCTCCCTCCCCCTCCATTGCGAAAGCGTGCAAGTGTGAGAGTAAAGTGTAAGGCATGAACGGCAGGCTGCTCACTTTGTTAGTGCTCATTCATTCTTTTTTATTCAAATTCATAACTTCGTGACTACCACACTTATTACTGCAAGCAAGCGGAACTCGTCCAGAGAACAGAAAATATGTAACACAACAGCAGAAATGGCGGCAAATTACTTTGTTATACCCAAGGTGCCGCTGCCATAAATTCGTAAATAGCGGGCTTTTTTACTAGTGAACGTATATGGAGGCACTAGAAAAATGAGAATTACTTCATTATATCTAGAACTTCGTTTAAAGGGAGTTCGTTATATACAGGCTCCACTGTATAAAATATTGAAGGATATGTAAGAACTGTCCTGAGATAGATATGTCTAATGATACTATCTTTAGGAAGACTATCAATTTGAAAAACTGATCTAAAAAATGAAAGGGTACTTACGGCCACTAAAATACTGTCAGGTCGAACCCACATACAATTATTAAAAGGTAAAAATTGTGTTTTTAAACTAGTGACACTTATGTTGCCATTAGAGGCATCAGCAATATTGATTGATGAGTTGTGCGCTACCCAACATATCCGATTGCCATCGCCACTGAAAGCAACACTATGCACCCAGCCTCCTGCAAAAAGAGACATGACAAATAACTTTTTTCCCTCATACAGAGAATACCTATCAACAGTTGAAAAAGCAAGTTTTGAGAAAAGGGAGTGGCAAAATGCACAATTTACCATGCCAACAGGGGCAAGCTGCAGAGGAGCTCTGCCCCAGGAAATCTTGAAAAAAAGATGTACCTTAAAGGCACATTTCACCTTTTTTCTGTCAAAACTTACGCAGGTAGCTGTCACTATAAAAAAGAAAATAAAAAATGTCAGAATCGAATTTTCCCTCCTCTGCCTGAAATGCGCAGCTCCTAAAGGCTGCCTGAGACAACTGTCACGGTTGCCTCCCTGTAAATTTGGGCGAGCAGTTGGTTCCAAGAAATTTTCTTCTTACCCTTTTGTACTCTTCATAATATTTTTAACAGTCACGCGTGGTGGGGAACAAACATTGTGGGACTATGTTCCATATTACGAGCATTGGATGGTTTGAAATATTTTTATTTAAAAATAGCATAGGATAATTTAAAACTGCAAATATTGTGCACTACATACTCCTGATGTTGCTTTTGCTGATTGCTACAAGACCAAAATTGCTGAAGAATTTAAAAAATTAATTTTTCTGGCACATTTTGGCATTCCCTGAAGATCCGCAAGATTGTTATAAATGACGCAATTAAAAATAGTTTTCAGGCAAAATTTGTTGTGTAAAACGTTAAAAGCATTCTAAAAAAACAAACAAAGGCAACTTGACAATTTTTTCCGAACGCTTTGACATTTTCCTTGATACTTCCCAGTTTTCTCTGACAGTGGCATCCCTGCAAGACACTTCAGTCAATACTCGCAGAGAAGAAAAAAAAAAGTCTACACATTATTGCTTTCTGAATTTCAGTTCTGTCACTTGTATTTTGGACTATTTGCTTCACCCTGAAACAGACTCATATGCTGAGATTAAATATACTTGATAGTGGAAAAAAAGCTTACCTCCGAAGGAGGAATTGTGAAATTCAGCTAATGGAGTTCCAAATACATGTTTTGAGCCCCATGAGGTTGCTGGAGCTGGATCTTCAATGTCCTTAATGTAGACAGAGTATACTTTCACTTTAAAGTCACTTGTTCCGACGACTAATAACATGTTATTCGGGTGCCAGTCCAGACAAGACACTGTTGACTTGATAGGTTTCTTAATATGTTTTGACAGCCACCAGTTATTCTGTTTCTCAAAATAACTAACAGATATTAGTCTAGCACCAGTGCCAGCAGCAAATTTGTTTTCTGAAAAAGAAAAAAAAAAAAAAAATATGCTTAGCGAATTACTTAAAATGCCACACCAAGCTTAGGGGCCTGACATCAAAAGGTTCAAACATACCACGTCCAACTCATGAAACGAACACCGGGTCTCCATAGACACACGTTCATATCATTCTATTTTGCTGAGTATTAGATCTAGATCAATAAATGCCACTATGGTTCAAGAACAAACCCAATATCCTCTTCATTGATTTTTGATAAAAACAAATTATAACTCTGTTTTTAAAGATTTTTCAATTGCTAACTGCCGTTTGCCATTTCTAAGGATGCTTTCCTGGCACAATAAGGACACACATGTAAAATGACAATGCCAAGAATGGCCGCAAGCTTATTTTTATATTGTCTCTAACTTAAATTGCAAGTACATCTTCGTTTTCAGCTGGTCAGCCAAAAGAGGTCAAAAAATAAGTGAAAAAAATATTTTAGTATCTGATTATTGGTTGCAAAATAATCAGGAATGTAAGTTGCAAAGTTATCATGAAATCACTTTTTATCTTGACCATGTTACATCATATTGCAAATCGCCTGATTAACTCCATCGAAATTGGACATTTTGGTGATTGCTCATCAGTTTGTAGCTCAGATAAAAAGCCAAATGATTTGCAAACTTAATCTGCATTCAAAATTTTTTTTTTTGTTTCGATAAAAACTGAGCAAATAGAGGAGCTGCTCGGTCAAAAAAATAATGACTAATATGGAAAAAATGTCACCTTCTGGAGACCATCGCACGCAGGTGGCAGCTCTATTAATTCGTAACATAGCTAAGAATGGTTTCCACTTGCCATCCGAATCCAATCTCCATACATAAGCATTGCGGTCCTAAAACAAAATATTCATTGCAGAAGGTAAATTTTTGCAAGATGATAAAGTTCAGTTTTTGACTTACTGCCAACCTCTTTTACGAAAAAACAAGATTCCGTCTGGTGACGCTACAGTTCCAAGATTCAAGTTTCTATGTTGGCAGTTGAAGAGACCCTAACCAAAATTTTTGTTCCACCTCTGAAAGGTGAGTTCAAAGATGGATGGTTGTAAACATTTGCAGTAAGCCACCAAACCATAGATTTAAGGTTGGGTCAGGATTTCGAAAATGAAATTCCCTGAAATTTTCTTAAATTTGAAAATATGTCTGAAAGTTTAAAAAAAAATTGTAAAAGTCATTACTCCCAAAACACGAGCACACAACAAATGTTGATTGAAACATTAAACATTAAATGAAAAAAATTAAGTTTGAACCTTAAGTAACGGCGGGCTGCTTATTGAAATTGATAGACAAAGCGATAGACAAGGAAGACTTAGGGAGTATGGAGCGGTCCTACTGGTTAAAGTGGGTAGTTCCTAAAGACTTAGGGAGAAAGTGATGGACTAAGTATAGGGTCTATCGTGGGTTGCCGTTAGTTTGTCTATTACCTACCTCCTTTGTCCATTGCAACCACCTGCTTCCACCAATAGAATCCCTCCATACCCCTTTTGTCATCTATGTCAATAGCTTTGTCTATCAATTTCAATAATCAGCCCGCAGGAAAGATGCAAAAAAAGCCTCCTACTTACCACTGAGCAAGTGACAATTTGATTGGTTCTGGGAGCCCAATCAATACCCGTAACTCGTAGCTCATGCTGAGACAGGGTGTGCATCAGCTTCCACTCATTCGTGACTTTATTCTGTTCGTAAATGTGAACATCTTGATTGTTTAATGATAGCGCTAACTCTGAAAATGAAGAAATGCCAGCTTAACAATCAGGAAATATTGAATTCTACTAAAAACTTGTGTGATTTAGGACTTCAAGTTTGAACTCAACTGTTTATTGAATTCTTTCTTTCATCAAAATTTTTTCACATACTACTACTTACATGTGAATTAAAGATTAGTACCCTTACTTTCTGTAAGAATATTTGACCTCTTGTGATCATTGTTGCTTTCAAAGGTAATGGTGCCATTGATATTACATGAAGGGGGTTCCGTCTTACCTTCCATTGCCAATTCCTCCACTTTTAGGATACCTGCCTCCAAAATGTCTGAATTTCCTGACTTTTCCGGATCATTCAACAAAACTTTCACTTCGGTTTTTCTCTTTTAATTACACTGACATTACTTAATCTTTGGACAACTTTCCCTTTCCGGAGATTAAAATTATAGAAAAAGGAGATCAAAGGTTGTTCACGCATTCTCAAATGACACTGGCATATTTCGCTGATTTTCTTAGGTCGCTGTATGTTCTCACTTTCTGAATTTTTCAGATCACTTGAGACACTGATTTAACCGGTGGCTCAATTATTGGTCACTGCTGGAGAGTCACATATAATAGAGTATTAGGATAGTCATGGATCATGCATTCCTGTCATCAAGTGAAGAATGCTTTAAATTTGATTGGTAAAATTGATGACATCTACCGATTAAAAACGTGAATCTTTAGCTGAAGAGATTTTGAGGCATTCCAGGAACAGATGACATTTCCGCTATGGCTGCTTTCTTTTAGAGATGGGAGAATCAACCACTATACTCTAAATGCTGTTATTTTGAAATGCAGCTAACATCGATGAGTTAAAGAAGACTGAGTTCTTAACTAGCGAAGGAAGTGGAGAAATCTTCGCTACCTTTGATCATGCTCTAATCGCTGTTTGGTCAATCGAAAGCAATCAATGCTGCAGCATTTTCAGTAGGTAGTGTTACACCTATTGGTAATGATCCGCTGTTCATTTAGTGGCTGCAGATGGATCATTTCCGAAACATAGTTAGGTGAATGATTGTTCTGTGGAACACAGGAAAAAGACCTCTAGCGCAACTAACTTACTACTCAGCTCCCAGCAATTTTGGATGCTGGTTTGCCATGAAAGAGAAACCTGAACTAGCTAAACAATAACATAGCTCCTGGTTTGAAACTTCAAACTCTCCGCGTATTTAAATGTTTAGGAGGGCAAGTCTACAATCTTCAGCCAGGAGAAAGATTAAGTATTTTGACTCATGGAGGACTGGTTGGGAGGAACTGCATTCAAACATGCAACAAAGCAGCTGATTGGTTTTCAATGCAGAGATGCTAACTGGTAGATTATCACCTCTGTGACTAGCTAGTATGAGGCATAACCTCACAATCCGAACCCAAATGCTACTTCCGCTTTCGGCGTTTGGAAACTCTTCCATGGTATTTTCAAAGTATAGTCATTTGATATCTGCTGATACAATGAAATAGGAAAGTACAGTGGTGCGAAATGACTTCTCTTGTCAGAAAAACTAAGTGCCTCATATTACATTTGGCGGAGGGTAATCACAAGTGAGGTTAGAATCAACAAAATTTGTCAGAAATTTAAACTTTAGAAAAAGTCATATTGAAAAATGGATCGCTGGGGAGCTGAGACTAAGGCGATTTCTAAAATCGTCCCATTTTACTCTGCAGACTAGGGATTATGTAAAAGTTTGTGAAAAGTTGGAGTACAAGAGCAAGGGTTGTCGATGCGATGATTACTTACGAGTTTTATCATGATTCCAAGCATGGCATGTGATCGGTTCGACGCCGAAACTATGGCGTTCACTCATCCTCTGTTTTTAATTAAATTAACTAGGATAAATTCAAACTAAGGTACAAAAATTACAAGGCCGGAAGGCCTCAAAAAACACCGCGCCCTGCAAGGGAGATTGATGACACATTAAACATACACACACACACATACACGCTAATGTAAACATAAACATAACTCACACACAGACATTGGAAAAGAAGCATCCATAGCTGTTATTAATTTCACCTGTTGGCAACTCTTGTGACTTCTTGTGATAAGAGGACAATAGTGACGAAAACTCTGAAAGCTTGTGATTCATTTAATGTAAATGATAGCTCTAAAAACATCAAAAACTTTGCTTTATCATTTAATTCCTTGGACGATGGGTCAAGAACAGGTGTCTTCATCCTTATTTCAGTCAAAATATGAATTTTCGTACCTCATCACAACTCATCGTTGAACAACGCTCTGCTGGCTGTTGCATTGCAGATTGTAGATCACCGATGACCCATATATTGACTGGTAGAATGCACCTTAGTGATAATAAAATTCAGTGAAAATACCCAACAACTTTTCCTGACATTGTTTTTCAAGTTATTTTGTGAATTATTTGTAGTTTTCATTCGTCATTAGTTCTTTCAGTTGAAAAGATTTTGAAGTCTTTCTTCTGTACTCTTTCCTACGTCGCGGGTTCGGTTGATATTATTGAAACTATGGAAGTCAAGTGCTTTAGTGAAATCACCTGAGCCTCCTCAAGTGATTTTCTCTTCTCCTAGTTTCATCCGTCGTATTTATTATACAGCTATGATGTGATTTTCAATTTGGTTTTTAGTCGCTTTTGGCTGCATGAAATTAGGGATATTGCAGCCAGGTGGTTCATTACACTCATCTGGCCTCGGAGGTGTATGCTCTCCTTAGCAGGCAAGTCACCATTTTTCTCAAGGTTCCAGCAAAATCTAGCTGAAACTTAAGTTTCAAAATGCATCAAATCCTCACTCCCCTGGAATAAAACCTGGATTGGATGAAAATGGTCTTAGTTCGATCCACTGCCGAAAGAAGTTTATGTGACCAGCCTTTGGAAGAAAACGATGCTATGAAAAGGTACGTATCCAGAAACTTCAATGTGCGGTTAACTCTCTAACAATCCAGTTACTGATGTCTTATCCTCTCATCAAACACAGTAAAAATACAGTTTTTAACTTTAGGCTTATCCTGTTACGATATTTATGATCATGTTCCTTCCTTTCATTGATACGCCTTTATCTGGAGTTCGTTTTCTCTGGCCTATATCCAAAATCAAGTGTTTCAGACATGATACACTGTTTATGCAGGAACTCTGGATTTGTTGGATCAATTGTTTACAAGTTTTGCATAGTACTTGTTCAAAATATTTTTCCCCCATTGTCCTCTCTAATTGTAAGTAGGTAGAGGAAGTGTGGAAAATTTTACCAGCACCCTTTGTTTGCTCAAATGACATTACACGTTCGTTTATTTTATACATTATACCAATCTTATCCATCACATCTTGCTTTTAATTTGCATGTCTTTCTGAAGGTTTTAAAGGCAATTTTGACCCCAGTATCCTAAGAGAAAGTATTTTGTCCCAATCAAATTCTGAAAAACATTACTGACCCTCCTTGAAAAGAGGCCCACACTGCGTCTCTAGAATACTTTTTTCCTGCCAAGTGCGGTGCCTATTCATGAAAAATTAAAATCTAACATGCACTAATTGTCATTATAATTTTTTGCCTTCAGAACCCGAGTCCATGCTCAGCGAAAGTTTGCTCAAGGCGCAGCTTTATCACCAGTTGGCATCAAGAAGGATATCCTAAAATTCAACAGAGCATCTCCTGCAAGTGATGCCTCTCCTGCTAAACAATCCAGGAACCATAGTGAAATATCAGAGGTTCTTCCTTCAAAACGCCCTAACACGGAGGATTTTTTGACATTTTTATGCTTCAGAAGTAAGCTTCCCTTCTATTGCTATAGAATGATCATAAGATGTATTGGAGTCTGGCACAATGTGTCTTAAGTCAGAAGGAAAAATTAGATAACTCTACCAAAGCTCAGATGGGATAATCTAGATCATTTGGTACCGAGAAAATGCAAAAGTTCCATTTATCGACTCCTCAGCAACAATTCAAAGATCAAGGCTGAAAATGAGGAATTTGAGGAAACTGCTGCTTAACTTTACTGGCACTGTTGCCAGCCTCAGAACCAATTTACTTTAAATACTCATGACATCAGGAGTTATGCAAATTATAATTTGGAACCTAATTCAATGTCCTTGAGAGTGTCAGCTCAGAAAATATGAAAAGCAATATTTTTGACAGCAACTGATTATTGCGCTGTATAGATCAATTTAAGATTCCCTCTTAAGGCATATATTGACTGACTTCATCATATACAGAGATCCTGTAACTGAGCACAAGGGAGTAATATTTTAGAATAGCTGGTTCCTCGGAATCTCTTTAACGATTTTCTTTACTACTGCTTGAATATCAATCAAATTTTAAAACTACCTAGTGGGACACATACAAAAAACATGATAAAAACAAAAGAAGAAAAAATCGGTAGGAAAGTGATTAAACTGATGCAAGTGTCAAAGACTGATATGCCGCTCTTTCATCTTTAACTTTAATGCATCGGCACTTTTAGAATACTGATCTCAAATAGAAGCCTGTTCAGTGTCAATCAATTTTAATATCTGTCAAATTTTCTGTATTCCTAAAATGCATCAAATCAAGTCAGTTTGAACTTTCTGTTTTCCACTGATGCTCTGAAGGAATTATTTCCCCATTGTCAAAGTGAGTCTTAATTTTTCCTCTCCATTGCAGATACAAGTATACTTCCCGCTCGACTTGACTTTTTTGGCGCAGCCTCTGTTTCTGGCAGCGGCAAAAATTCTGGGAGCAACAAAAAAGCAAACAGTGAAGGAGCAGCCATGGGACTTGCTAACGTGGTGCGTACTAACTTTTTATCACAGTTTTTGAAATAAAGGTGGTAAATCTTCTTCCTCAAACTCTTGTGGCTCATCAGTAGCACAATGGACCACTAGACAAGGTACAAATTTCAGCATTCTGATACATGTCTCGTAACTAAAATTTCACGTAGAAAACGATGCACACAATCAAAATTGCCGAAACCAACTCCTTACAAACATATTTAATGATTCCTGATGCATGAATTCAAACTTCCGCTCATGAAAACTCAATGCTCTACGTGATTCACATCGCGCACTAGACGTTATCATGACAGTCTCTGCGATATAAAAATCTGGCAACCTCAATCTTGACACTTTGGCTCTGCTATAGCAAATTGCTTATAGTTTGAACAACACATGGTGGGAAATGAACATTGCTCGATTGAGAAGATTACTGAAACCGTTGTAGTGCGCGATTTGACTCACGTAGAGCTTTGAGTTTCTTGTGAGCGGGCAGTTCAAATTCCTCGTAACCAATGTGAAATAAAAACGTTAAAATCTTCGTTAGGAGTTGGTTCCAGTAATTTTCTTTGTGCAAGTCATGTTCTACGTGAAATTCTGATTAAGAAACATGTATCAGATTGCTTAAATTCGTGCCTTGTCTAGTGGTCCATTTTCTACACTTCACACGCTATGTCCAATGAGGCTGTTGTAGAATTTTATTTCTAATTCATTTTTAAGAAGCATCTCCATATAAATAAAAATTCCCTAATTTTTTCATTTTTCATTAAATTAATTTTTGACTACACCGATTTGTCACCTTAGTCTTCAAATTTTAATTAGTTGAAAAGGTAACTTTCTTTGCATCTCATCAATACTTAATTCAGTCCGAATCCTTCCTTCAAATTGTACAAGAGCCATTTCAGGACAAATTTTAGGTACAAAACGACTTTAAAGTCCTTGAAAATGTAACCTTACCTAAATGAAATTTTTTTACAGATTTCGTGATGTTGTATGTGAAAATTGCCTATCGTGTAATCTTTCACCCGGGCATTTTCATTTATTTTCTTGCCGAAATTTTGTCGACAGGCCCTATATCTTTATTGTGCTTGTAATGTCATCATCGATAGACATCAAAATTCTTAGAAAAGTGTCAAAGATCAGATGTCAGTATCGAGTAAACGTTGCACCAATGGTACAGAGGTCACAGTACATGATGTCACATCGTGATGTCACATCGTGTCACATGATGTCATAATCTTCAGGCCAATGAGAGATGCTCTTCCTATTATTTTGATTTTGTGCCTCTTCTGTTCAATTGAGAAAGCTGTTTTGAGCACTTTTAAGCCTAGAAAAGAGTTTCTTGTTAAAATTTACCCCAAGAAATATCTAGGTACCTTCAAGGCAACTCCTGGATCATGCAAGAAGAACGCAGAAAAGGATAATAATTTTGACATTATTTCAGTGTAAAACATCACTTTGCAAGGTTTTTCTAGCCTTAATAAAAGAGCTCAATTTTGAATTTTTATCTTTGTAATCTGTATTGTTTCAATTTTCTAGCAAGACTTCATTCAAAGGGTGAATTAGTCTCAAGTTTTTTTTTTCTTTGCTGTCATCTGAAAATGAAGTGCTATGTTTAGGAAGCATCCAACAGAATTTTTTTAACTTGAAGCTCCTACTAACTTTCTTCGCCAGCAGAAATTTAAAGTCAAACTCAGTTCACAAAAGCATCATGTTGTTCTCTTTTTTTCAGGCGCCTCAGAAATCAGAGGAACCAAAGAAATGTCAAGACAAATCAGTGACCTCTAAAATTTCAGTGTTGAAACAGAGAGAGCTTGCGCGGAAAAAGAAACTAGCCAATCTAAAACATGCGCAAAGAGGTAAACATTCATATCCTTTCAATCCAAAAGTTCCTCACCCATCATCAATATTTTTCATGTACACCTCTATCAAGCATAGAATCTGAAAATAGAGAAGCATGATAAGACAATGAAAATTTGATTGTATTTAAATACGCGAAGAAAATAAATCTGCTGATAATTTCCCACTCTAGTTAAGTCTCCTGAATATATTCAAAATTAAAGATTTTTATCATATTTTCAGCAATTTATCCCAGTAGTCTCAAATTTGATGCATTATTCGGAATCTAAGGCATGGTTTTTTTTTAAATACTTTCTTCAGTCACCAGCTCAAAATTTTGTTGGTTTTTTTAAAATTGATAAATAAAAGTAGGTGTTTCTATCATTCGCTCGGCAGATACTTTCAGGTCTTAAAGAAACGGTCAGCTTTTAGCTGACATATTTTTTACTAATTTTGTCTTCCTTAAATTTCCTCTTTTGTCATTTATTTGCTAGACCCACCAGTATTATTATGCCTCAAGAGGTTTTCTTTAACTAAATACGCCCTCTGCTTTTGTTTTAAGCGAATGCAAAACATCTGAAACCAGCAGTTGACAGACGGAAGCAACTGAAGACCAATCTTGGAACAGAACGATCTCTAAGAAAAAATATGAAACTGAAAAAGTTGGAAGCTATCAAGAAGAAGGTTCCCAGTACCGGAAAAGATACTGCTGGAAAGAAAGCACCTTCGACAAACAACAAGACAGAAAAGGAAGTGAAACGACCAGTCCCTGTCAAATCACAGGCAAAGGACCTGAAACCTAGCCTCGTGAAAAGTTCAATAAAGTAACCCTCTATTATATGTTTTTTTTGTTTTTGACTAGCTCAAAGATGGCTCTTACAATGATTATGGTATAATCCAGACCCAATCGAAAATTTCAGCAGGGTTCCATCTGTCTGGAAAATCTTGCATTTTCAAGGGAAAGAAGCAAATTGGAAACATGGAAAATCCAGGGAACTCTTTACAGACTTTGAGTAGAAAAAAGAAATCTCTATCGTCCAATCTTTGAATTTTCGTATGTTTGAATTTCTCGCTTCTGAGTGTGGAATTCAAAACTCAGAAATGTTTGGAAATACTTGGCACTGCTTGGGTGGACCAGGCATAAAGGAACTTTTGCATGGTGTCCTATAGTGTCATTTGTCAGCATTTAATTTTGGGTCAAGTATATGAGACTTTTTCATTGAAGAAAGGAAATTTTTCCTGAAACCCTGTCCAATCTTGGTTGCACTTTTATTTTAGAAATAACAATTCTCTTAGTTGCTATCATAACTCTGCATCTGCATTGAGACTGAGACTAAAACAATTGTTCCTGCTAAAGTAATATTGTAACTAAGACCAGGAACTCAGGTTGAGCCTGCAATTACAGTGAGCATTGTAAGAGCTACGATTCTTTTTTCTTGAAGGTAGAAACTACTTATTCAGAATGATTAGGATGGTGAATGGAGGATTCTCACAGCCTCATAAAGTCCATGAGAATAAAGTAAGGAAAACCAAGTACTGATAGTACTTGATTCTGAGGAAAATTGTGAGAATATGCCTGTGTCCTCAAATCTCCGCATTTTTGACCCTTGAGAATGGCAATGCTTTCATCATTTCATGCTTTGTCAATCATACCATGCAGGAGAACCACAAACGCGCAATGTTCCTTCTTTCCCCTATCTTATTAAGTCATTTTCTTTACTTCTATTTTGCACCGGTTTTCGGCTCATCCTTTCAGCTTTATCGTACATTTTTAACTAAATTTATATAAATTGGGGACAGCCAATCAGAGATGATTGGTTTCTCCCAGAGAATCTACCTAAGTGACCAGCAAAATCTCTCTCTAATGGATGTGGCTGTCAACCATTCGTCCTTGATTGCCTGTCACCACCTCTGTCATGTCCATCATCGGAGCTCAGGTCAACTTACAAAAATATTAATAGACGATTTTAAGTCCACCAATCACCAGTCCACTAGTCTGCACCAACTGGCTCATCAACTTTGCACCTTGGTATTGCAAGAGAGCAAGCTGTCAATCAGAATACCAGCAAATCCAAGCGACTGGAATTCTGAACCAATGAAATTCATCTCTAGCTGATAGAATTCCCACACTGTTCTAAAGTGTTTAATTATAAATTTCACCATTCAAATTTATTGCTGTCCTTTCAGATCCAAAGCGAAAAGAACTCCTTTAGGCGTGAGGCGAAATCTTCGTAGTGGAGGTAGCAGTCTTGGCGGCTCTCAGGAGTTGATATTGAAATCTAAAAGATTGCAAGTCATACGAAATCGCAAAGCAAAGCTTGGTGCTGGAAAACAAACGACCCTTCCAAAAGGTACCTACTTTGCTCATTACATTTCTCTTTTTAGAACTTCTAGACCGAGTGTATATTATGGGAGTTTGAGCCTTGTAACAATGGATTTGTTGCTCACGAGAGATGCAGGCAGCTGAGTATTATTTTTTCAAGTAAAATTGAATTAAAATTACTTTAAACACATAAAAAATGTCTTTAATCCACCCTCCCAACAAACAATGGACCACTAGACAAGGTACGAATTTCAGCATTCTGATGCATGTTTCTTAACCAAAATTTCACGTAAAACACGATACGCACAACGAAAATTACCAAAATCAACTCCTTACAAAGATATTTAATGATTCCTGATGCGTGAATTCAAACCACCCGCTCATGAAAACTCAATGCTCTACGTGATTCACATAGCGTGCTAAACGTTATCGTGACAGTCTCTGCGATATGAAACTCTGACAACCTCAATCTTGACGCTTTGGCTCAGCTATAGCAAATTGCCTATAGTTTGAAAAATACATGGCGGGAAATGAACATTGCTCGGTTGAGAAGCTTGTTGAAACCGTTGTAGTGCGCAATTTGACTCACGTAGAGCTTTGAGTTTCTTGTGAGCGGGCAGTTCAAATTCCTCGTAACCAATGTGAAATAGAAACGTTAATATCTTCGTCAGGAGTTGGTTTCAGTAATTTTCGTTGTGTGAATCGTGTTCTACGAGAAATTCTTGTTAAGAAACATGTATCAGATTGTTTAAATTCGTACCTTGTCTAGTGGTCCATTTGCGAAGTCTGTGTAGCACTCTTTAAAACTCCCTGTGCCCATAGGTTTAAATAAATGATGTCATTTGTATTTTTGCCATTTATTGCATATACCCGCGTATGTTATGCACCCCAAATTTTGAGGTCCCCCTCCCCAAAAATGCTCTGAACAGGATTGGTCTGAACTTAGTTGTGGGCTGTATTTTGGGGCAATACCTGTGTATCGTAAGCACCCTTGATTTGAGAGCTGAAATTTTGAAAAAAAGGTGTGCACAATATGCAGGTAAATACAGCAACCAATGTTAATCATGAACACTTATATCTTGTTTAGGAGTTCATTTCCAATTTTCCTGATGTGTGATTGTTTTCCTTGTGAAATTTTGATGAAGAAACATACTACATAGTGCTTCAATTCATACCTAACCTACATGAGGACATCACTCATTTCATTCATTTTATTTCATGGATCATCATTTTCTTTGTATCTCTTAGGACAAACAAAAAGTGCAAAAAGAGTTTCATTGCCCAAAGGTAAAACTACAGGCTTAGATTTTTCGTCAGAAGATGACCAGCCTCTTGTTAAAAAACAAAGGACCAAAGAAAACATTGAGAAGCCGTCATCCTTGCCAAAAATCGTGGAGCCTCAAACGTAAGTAACAAGCTGTGCATCATTTCCTGTGTTCATTTTACTTCTCTAGCATCAATAAATTTACCCTGCGAATTGAATTTGAATTCTATTTTAAGTATCCTCTGTTTAAATAGATACATTTTAATGGGATATGTCTCCGCATCAGGAGTTTTTTTTTTAAAACAAAAAATCATTTGCTGAATAGCTTAGAACTCCCAACATATGTGTAATGCATGTTATGTCACAACAAGTTTTATGATAATCTGCAATCATCTGAACACATTTCTGTGATCGGCGCAAATATGCCATTGCTCAGTTATAAATTCTGAACAAGTGCAAGAACTAACTAACCAACAGTGGCATAAACTAACAATACAATCAACTAAATAGCCTGCAAGAAGGCAGTTGTTTTCAAGTATATTTAGCCTCTAGAGTTTTATTCACTTGATGACTTTCTTATCCATTAATGACTGTATTGTTCTTTGATTTGTAGATCATCTCGATTGAGTAGAAAAACAAAGCAGACCTCTTCATTGCCTATGAAAACTCAAGAGAAAGATACTCGTGGCGCCAAAAAACCATCTGCAGACTTGGAAAGTTCAAAAAAGAAAAGTCAAGTCGACGAGGCTGCTGCGAAAACAAAAGGTTTTATGTTAATCCATTTTTTATCAGAATAAATTTCTTTTTAGTGATAACCACTCCTTTAAGCTTTACATTTTTGGACGGATGTCTCCATTTGATATCAATTGTCTCAAGAGCTTACTATCCAAAGCTGTAAAATTTTTACGTTTCAATGTTGGAGAACAGAGCATCAAGATATTTGAGTAGCTCATGATCATAATTTCCAAATCTCTCTTTGAATCTGATAAGAGATATTTAAACTTGTTGGAAAATTTGAATTGTTGATTACCACATGGTTCCTTTACTGCGTTTAATATCATATTTTTAAATATATATATGCATGTATGCTTAAAAAAAGAAGAAATATTCTTTAAATGTTGCTAATAACAAAACTTGGATTTTTTTGTGTTCTCTATAAAAAAGAAAAGAAAAGCAAAAAATTAACTGAAGCTGAATGCTCATTTGTGCAATGTTTAATTTCCTAGCTGTCAGTGACAGATAGTAGAACTTGTTGTTATCAAGCTTATTCTTTTCGACAGTTCCATTTTTTTACCCAGTTGTTTCTTTAATTTTACAGAAAACCAAGAGAAGAACAAGAAAGGTAAACCAGAAGTTATGACGGAGACTAAAGAAGAAATTACAAAGAAGAACCAAGCAAAGCCTGAAAGTAGCACCCATGAAAAACCAATAAAAGTGAAACCAAAACAAGCTGTGATCGTGAAAAAGAACTCAGTGATTGCCAACCGGACTTCTAAGGGTAAACTTTTGCAAGCCAAAACTCGATCTCATGGCCGGCTCGCCTTACGTGCTTCAAGCCAGAGCAAAAAAGCCAAAACCACTTTGACACGTTCTTTGCGCTCTGAAAAAGAGCTGAAAAAATCGAAGCTTGAAAATGTTTCTTCCACATCAGAAACAAAAGCTCCTAATCTTGTCTCAACTCGAAGCGGTAAGCTCCAATCTCAGCAAAATAATCCTCAAAAGCAAACCGTCGATAAGGTCATGAAAGTGAAAGAAGGGACAAACAGTGGTAATAGATCTGACAGCGTGAAATTATCAATTTCTACTGACAATGTCTCAAAGAGTTCAAAGGATGAAATGACAGAAAAGGCAAAACAGGTTGTGAAGAAAGAGAGGCCTGTCATCGAGAAGGCAAAAGACTCAATTCAAGGGCCTGCAAAACTTTCTGAAAAATCAAATCCAGTCGTTCTTAATACTCGGCGGAATAGTGTGCCAAGTGTTTCCCCTCCTCCTCAAGTCCATAAAAATAAGAGCAAACCAATAAATATTGCGCCAGAAGGCGCAAGTGCAAGTGCTGTCAGGTCTTCTGCAAATATATCTGACGAAAAGAAAGAGCCAGTCAAAAGAAGTCAAGTCAAAACAAACCAGACCCTGATCAAGGAAAAACCTGAGCCCGCCAAGAAAACGAAAACCGTAGCCAAGGTTCCAACCCCAAAGAGCAGCAATGACTTGCATGACCATCCATCAAGTGGCAAAGCTGGGAAGAAAAAACTGAGTAAGTCAGAAAATTCCAAAGAATCTACCCAAAAAGACCAAAATTCTTTTGCTGTTTCTTTAAGATCTGGAGAAAAGAAACCTTCAGTTTCCTCTGATGAGGAAATTTTCTCTAAATTATCAGCATTAAAGAATGTCAATAAAAAAAGTAGTGAGGAATCAAAAGAAACTGAAAGCAAGTCTGCCGTTGAATTTTTGTCGAAACCTAGTAAAGTGCTGAACACAACAGCGTCAAAAGCTAGTAAATCAAAGGATTCTCAAGATTTATCAGAAAGCGAAACAGAAGAGCCTGAAGCCTCAAAAGTCAAAACCAGTAACAAAAACAAACCAAAATCTTCAGTGAAAACTGGTCCTAAAAAATCAAATACAGCGCCTGATACTAGTAGTAGTGAAGATGATAAAATGGAAGACCTTCTGAATCTAGCAGCATTAAAAACAAATCTAAACAAGAAGTCGAATCTGTCAGTTAAAGACAAAGCAAAGAACACCAATGTGAGTAAAGCATCTAATCTTTCGGCAAGCAATGAGGGGAAGAACATCAATTTAAGTAAAAAGTCTAATTTTGCCAACAAGGATGCTGAAAAGGAGATCAATTCAGTTAAAACCTCCAATCTATCAGGCGGGGAGGAAGCAAAGAACATCAATTTGAATAAAAAATTAAATCTCTCCGTTAACAACAAAGAAACAAATATTGATCGGAGCAAAAAATCCAACGTCACTGCAAATGATAAAGAAACACGCCAAAACAAAAACGACACCAAAGTACAGTTGAATTCGCCAGGAAATATTGATGAAGAAAGTATTTCCAGCACATCTCTTCCAATTGTGAAGGAAAATTCAGGGAAATCATCCAAGCCTGATAAAATTGACTCTCACAAAAACTTGGCTGCTTATTCAACACTGTGCGAAAAAAATGTACCTAAAGTTTCAAATCTGCTGAAACCGTTGCCTGAATCATTCAACACCACCTTGATTGATTCGAAAAATCAAAATTGTAGTTCTCCTACGGTGAAGAGGAACCAGATCAAAAGCTTGAAGTCTGTGTCAGACGCTTCCAAAATTGAGAAACTTCCGAAAGAGGAGAATTTTACAGATGAAGATTCTTTAAAACTTGAGGAAGTAAAAGGTCGAAAGGCAGTTGTTGAGTCGACCGAAAAAGCTGCAATCTCTGAAAGAAAAAAGAAAAATCAGACAGGTGTCACAAAAAAGGTAAACAATAAAGTAGAAGATGATGATTTGAATACAGCTGAAACCAACATGTTGTTCACTAAGACCCAAGACAAAGATCTACATAGTGAAAGCAAACTTGAAAAAGCCTCAAATGCAATAGTTTCCAAAGAGATTAATTCAATATCCAAAGAACGCGGCAGAAAATCAAATTTAATCCCATCAAAAGACAAGAATATCCCAGAAAACAGCCCACCAATTCAATCTGCTAAAAAGTCAAACAAAGAAATTCATCAGGCAAAGTCTTCAAATTTGGTGCCTCAGGTAGAATCTTCTGTGAAAGCCAAAGAATTGAGTCGAGACTCGAAGGTACCTCTTCCCAAAGAAACAAATCCTCCGCAGCCCTCTGTCTCTCTGGTGCCAAAATCCTATATTTCTAATTTTACTGAAGCAAGTAACTCGGAAATGAAAGAATCTAAGAAAACATCGTTTAAAGGAAATTTGCCTCAAGTTAAGGATGTGAATCATTCCAATAGTCTTAATGAAATGAAATCTAAAAAGAAAGTCATGCAAGTTCAAGATGTTGAGCAGTTAGAAGTGTTGGAGGAAGCATCTTCTTCCAAGAATATCTCTCAAGTTAAAGATAGTAACCTGGCAAAAATGTCCACCAAGACCACACCCAAAAGAAACTTGTCTGTGACTGAAGATGTAAACGTTTCAAAAGAGTCCAAGAAAAAAATGAGTGATGAAAGCTCATCGCAGTCAAATGACTTGAAGCGGCTTAAAGACTGCAACAAAATATCACCCAAAGAAACTGTGTCTAAAATGAAGGACATGAGCCCAGAACCCAACAAAGTAGCAACTAAAAAGACTTTGTCTCAAGCTAAAGATGTGAATCTGTCAAAAGAGCATACTGACCCAATGCCAATAGGAACTTCCTCTCTAGTTAAAGATGTAAACCAACCGAAACCATCGCATGCGGTGAGGATGGGACCTAATCTCAGCAACTCAGGCTCATTATGTGATCAGATTCCCGTAACTAACTATGAAAATTCGTCCAGTCCGAAAATTGTGAACAAGTTGGAAAGTGGCAGAAAACAATTGAATTTGACGACGTTGCCAAAAAAATTAGCCTCCAAAGATTCACCAGATGAGTCGAAAATTACTGATCAAGTGTTTTCCCGAACAATCACTGAACCAACTCAAGAAGACCTCGTAGCGGCTTCAGAAAGTTTAATAAGATTATCTATGTCCCATGTGCCCTTCAAACCCAACTTTTTTGGGCAGAGTTCGAAAGCAAACAACCAAGAAAGCATAAATATTCCAAGTTCTCCATCTCCGTCTACTGTGCATGGACAAAATTACGAACATCCAATGCCTCCATTGAAAAATACCAAAAGCAACACTCCTGTGATCTCATCTGGAAAAGGGAGCAAGTGTGACCTCTTGAAAAAATGTGATAATACAGTTACCGTGCCAAGTGCGTCTGGTGGAGAATCCCTCTTCTACAATAAATCAGCCTCATCTGCAAAAAGTTCGAACAAAAATATACTAGATACTCCTTACCAATTAAAAAACAATTTATCGTCCAATTCATCAAAATTTGTTGATGCTAGCTGTTCTTTGGGCAATAACCTTCAACCTCCAATCTTGGAACTAACACAAAAGACCTCACCTTCATTAAACTTAATTAAGAAAACCAAAACAGATCATGAAGGGTACGGTCCAATGAGTGCACCTGTTTTGGAGACCAATAATTTAAGTAGATTGGACACAAATAATACTATTATTCCCGATCATAAAGAAAATAAACTACAATCTAAAAAAGTGAAAAATGTGGATGCAGATGCTGTAGGTGAAAATAGTAGAAAAAGCAAAAAGACAAATCTGAAACATGATATTTCAGACGTGAATGAAAAGATCAAGTCTTCAAACTTGACAGAGCCGGAACTTCTTTCTAAGGTCAAAGCTGGCACCAGTGAAAGAGCAAATAGTAAGAATAGCATTGGTGAAATCAAAGAGTCAAGCACTGTGAGGCCCTCAGAAGGAAATAATCATGAATCTCAAGAAAAATTGAAAAATAATTTTGCTGAAAGCAAACCTGATGGAAAAGCCGAGACACGATTACAAGGAAGACTTCAATCACTGAGTAAACAAAGTAATTTGTCCAGCAAACAAGATGAGGGTATGGACAAGAAGCGAAGTAAATCAAGTGATGCATCATCAGGAAGTATGTTCCCATTGCAGAGACGCAGTGGGCGAAATCGAGAACCTTCCTCGCCTCTCAGAAAAAGTCCCTCACCCTCACCTCCTTCTCAACGAGTGCTTCGAGCGCGAAAAAGTACCTATTTTGGAGAAGTGGATTCCTCTGATGAGGATGAAGACTTTGAATTTTTAATTGCATCAGGAAAGTTTCTCAATGAAAGTGAAGCAAGCAGCAGCCCAAAATCTGGAAAAGACAAGAGTGTGAACAAAGAAATAATCCCAGCAGATAAGAAAGAAGAGAAAAAATTGGTCCTCTCCAAACGCAACAATGTTGCCGAATCCAGATCAAATTTAAGGGCTTCAAATCAAGATAAGTCCCAAGAGAGTATGCCAGACAGTGGATCTCTAAAAAAAATTGACAACAAGAATCAGTATGTAGACAGTGCAAAAAGCAAGTTGGAAAAGTTGGAACAAGCCTCCGCAAATAAGATGAATTTCAATGCAAATCCGTCGCAAAATGATGCCAGCGGCTTCAAAAATACTGTGATTTCTCCTGATGGGAAAAGCAAGTTCCCAAATGATTGGAATGACAACAGAGGCAGAAGTTATCCGCTGGCTGCTGCCTTGGGTACCAGGCCAGATGGCTTTTTGAAGAACACAAATACCTTGAGGCAGGAAGCAAGTAGTAGCTCTAGCTCTGCATCAAAAACTTCCTACGGTCTGCATCAAAATGAGACGTTTCCTGCTAAAACTCAGAATTCCGTCTCAAGTCCAATGGGGGCAAGCTCCTCATCACAAGTTCAGGATTCAAAATCAATAAACAATCAAATAACTAACTTCCTCTACCAGACACCGGTCAAACCACCAAAAGATCATGTAGACATGATGAAGAACACCTCGAACAACTCTGTATTATCCAGAAATTTAAATCTTACTCCGAATGCTGTTGGGATAGCCTTGAACTGCCCCATCAAAGAAACAAGTACTCCCCAAACAAGTGCAAATCCCTCGAACGCCGTAAAAGATACGAATATCCAGGTTGAGACTGAAAATAACAGTGCCCCCGTTCAGCAAAGTTGTTCCAGTGTGTCAAATTTACCGCCCAACAAAAGTCCAGAGCTCCCACGAATACCGAACAGCGATCCAAGCAAGATCCCCAACAATCCTCGGACATATTTCAATCGCAGTCTTGCTGCTGCACATTTAAAATCACATTCTGCAGGTATGTCTGGCAGTAAAAATATATTCATGCGAGCCACAGATGAGAAGCAAGTTAATGAAATTCTGAAACCGGTAAACAAAGACACTGAATCAGCTACCGTTCATCCCAAGAAGGGTGCTGATTCAAACACTCCCATGTCAGATCTTGTGAAGAAGTCTCCAAGTAAAGAGAAGGACTCACTGGTTATATCACCAGCCTCCGAACCTGTTGCAGATGCAAGTAGTGCTTCGAAAGAACCAACAGCCTCCGCTTCAGTCAATCTCAGTGCATCTTGGAAGAATGCATTTAAAAATGTGAAGTTACCGAAACCATTTGCTAGTGTACCAAAAACTCCCATGGACAGAAATGCATGGATCAAGAAACACTCGGCTCCGTTGAGGCTGAACAAACCAAATGAGCCTCCTGGGTTCCAAAGTGATCCTTTCCTGATCAAAAGCAAACCAAATGATGTTTTCTCAGTCAATACCTTAAGTACCTCAAGCTCCATGGACAATCGCAAACTGATAAATTTTGATGTTAGAACAGGAAGCACACCCGGTTTATCTAAGCCAAGTGCTGGGTCAAAAGATTCCTCTCCCCAGTCTTTGAAGAAAGTTGAAAAGAATAATCCAAAATTCAGCCCTGCACATAAAAATATTAAAGGATCTGATTTACCATTGCCTCTCACTGGACAATTAAATGAAGGTACTCTACCCATCACCAATCTAAGTCCAACCAAATGTTCGGAGAGGAACTCATCAGCTGAAAAAAGTATTAGTGAACCCATATCCATAGGTAGACACTCGAATCTACCTCCTCTTATTGAACAGTCCTCGAAACATAATCCTCTCAAATTAAGTTCTCCAGCCAAAAAATTGTCGTCTACAGTCCATGAAAGAGATGTTCCAGCTCATGAGAATCCTGGAGCCTCATCTCTAACTTCTCGCAGTAAACAGTCTTGCGATAATGCTCGATCTCAAAAAGAAATTAACTCTTCTAAAAAAGACCCAATTATTAGTTCTAGCCCAAAAGGTTTATCTAATACAGCCTTTTCCCCAGAAGAATCTCCTATCAAAGTTGCGCCAGAAAAATCCTCTCCCCATAAAAAGGTGAGCCATCCATTAAGTATCGAGAATTTCATCAAACCAAGTACCAAGACGAATCATGAGTCTGTAAGGAAAAGATCAGGTAGTCTGTTGGAAACAGGCGAAGAGCCTGCTCATAAGCAAATGGCATCTGAGGCAAGTTCTGTCGGAAAAAGTTCTTCCTTGAAACCTGTCCCAGCTCTCTATGATAAAATGAGTGTTGGCGCAGACTATTTCCCAGAACCACAATCACAAAAACCAACCTACTCAAGCAACCCTACGCTGAAGAAATACTCACAATCATTGTCAACTTCAACTCGAAAATCAATTGACAGTGAGGTTGACGTCAATGCTACTGCATCAGTTTTATCATCCTCCTCCGAGGGGACTCCGGAAAAAGTGACCAAGAAAGTGATATTCCAACAGAGGCGCATGTCAACTGCCAAAGAGCTCGAGTCATCCAAAAAAGCTGTTGCATTTTCACCGGAACATGAGAGTAGTGTGTATGCCTTTGAACCTGATCTCCCTCCTACTAGCACTCCATTTCGAAGGAACAAAAACAAATCGAACCTTGATTCCAGCATTGATTCAAATCCAGAAACAGATAGTTCATCTAACAATTCCATTGCAGTGCAGGTTAATTTAGAGACGGAAGCTGTTTTTGAATGCTCAACGCAAGCTGAAGCAGAAGAAGATGACGAAGAAGAAGGAGAAGAAGAAAACAAAGGTCAGTTATTTTACATTCCTCTCCAGCAGTCTGTATCCGCTCCTTCGCCGCAAATTCAAGGCGTTGCTGTGAAATTAGATACAGAGGGTCCAGATCAGCGTGTGATCATGAGAGCAAAGCTGGTAACGAAACCCCCTTCAAATTATGCCAAGAAGACTGCTGCTGTGGCAACAAATACAGTAAATTCTTTGGCCCCTCTGCAAGTTGTGTCACCAGAGAAACGGAAGGTTCGACCCCTTGGAGCAAGCAGCGTAGATAGTAGTGCTCCAGTAGGGACAGTTCAGCCTACATCCCGCTCAACTTTAAGAGACTCACCCTCACCTGCAGCCTCACCAAAGAGTGTAGAGCATTCAACGAGCTCTGATTTATCGCTACCATCAACATCAACTGCTAGTAGATCTCCAAAACCTGCAAAAAGAGCTAAAAAGTCTGCTACTCAGAAAACTTCCACAGCTAAAGAATTCCCAAAACCTGAGAGCCCTGGGAAAATAGTTGAAGCGCCAACTTTCCATCCCACAGAAGAAGAATTCTCAGACCCGTTGGAATACATCGAACGGATCAGACCAATGGCCGAACAATATGGACTGTGTCGTGTCGTGCCTCCCTCTAACTTCAAGGTATTTTAGTTGTGTTTTATCAGCATGCCTCTTAATCCGCTCTTTCCGTCTTTATTAGGTTATCAAATTCTGTTTGCTTCAAAAGAGATACTGGAGGGTTCTTTTTTTGTAATTTTTTTTTGCTTAAATTGCCAAACATTTCGGTGCTCAATGAATAGTAAAAAGGTGTTTAATATTTTCAAGCAAATACATACCAAAATTAAAAACAAAACAGAACTGAAAATCAGCGCTTCTCCAAGGATCCTTCAAAAATCCTGTCACAACTTTATCTGTATCTTAAAATAATGATTTGATTCATGAGAGCATTAGATGTCTGGAAAAAAGAATCTTTGCTGTAAAAGAAACTTTTCTGGTAAAATTTCGATTCTCAGTATACTTACACTATATTTTACCTGTATTAGCTGAATTAAAATTAAGTATTTTTTTTTTTTTAAAAAAAAAAAAAAAGTCATGAGATTATTTGGTTAGTTAAAAATTAAGCAATATAATGTTTGGAAAACACTATCCAGATTAATGAAATATTTAATTTTATTTTGTATTTTATTTTATTGTCCAGTAAATTTTGATGAAGAATGAAATAAATAAGGTAAATGTTCTGATGGGTAAAATTTAGGTTTGATTAAATTGTATTAATTTATCATAGCAAAATTGTAGTAGTGTTGTAAATTTCCAATTAAAATGAAACTGTTGTAATAATGTAGCTATAATATTCCCTCTTTTTTTCATAGCCGGAATGTAAAGTTGCTGATGACATGAGGTTCACCGCCTATAATCAGTTCGTACACCGAATGCTGCACCGATGGGGTCCGTCCAGCAAGGAATCGGCAGCAATCCGAAAGCATCTAGCAACTGAGAATATCACCTTGAAAAATCCTCCATGTGTAAGAGTTTTATTCCTCATCTATCATCCCAAGGATCGCTCTCATCAAGTTTCATTGACCAAAAGTTTTTATGAAGTATAAAAGATATCTGTAATTTTAAAGAGCGGTATTTTTTTGTTTCCGCCCAATTTGAGAAGAGGTTTCTAGTAGAGATCAACAGGCTTCTTTCACTTAAGTGATATAGCCCCCCGACTGACATTTGTAATTTAAGGATAATTTTCATGAAAACCGCTTTTTGTATTCCATACTGAATCTATTTATCTTTACCGTAAATCATTTTCTGGTTGAAGTTTGACGCCTAACTTTATAAAATGTGTAAAATTGCCAAATTTTGCCTAAAGGGATCTTTTTCACACATAATCTTGTATCTTCGGCATAATATTTCACCAGAACTATTCAATTGTAATTGTGTTGATGGAAAGTTGTGAATATTACAAAGTGGGAATTTCAGAAACTAAACTGGTATAAAATATAGCTAATTTCAACTTCATCTACACATGCGAACCTCCATCAAACCAGTTTAACAAACTGTTGCACAGATGAAAATAACCTCTTCATTTAGTTTCAGTGAACCATGTCAAAAGCAGTTTGTCAAACTTGCAGCACTGAGTTTGCTCAAGTAGTAAAACCAGTTCTAAGTGGAAATATTTCCTCTGCAAACTAAGCCGCAGGCTTTTATCAGCACCTGTTGGTTGTTTATTCCATTTCATTATTTTGTAGCCTTTTTCCTCCTTCTCTAGGAGTAATATTAAAGTAGATTCTCCTAAGTTCTGCTTCAACCTTGGCAATCTTTATTAAACGTTATTCAACATTTCTCCCCTGCTTTCAGATTGGGGGTGTCGAGCTTGATTTACCGCAATTATATCAGAAAGTTCAAATTTGTGGTGGACTGAAAAAAGTTATAGAGCAGGATCGATGGCAGCGGGTGGCAGATTTAATGAAAATACCCAAATCTGTTCACGACAGATCCTCAAAACTAGATGAAATCTACTGTAAATATTTGCTGCCGTATGATACATTGTCCTCAGGTAACGAAACACACAAGCCAATTCACAGTTTCTATCTAAGTATGCTTTAGCAAACTTTGAATTTAGAATCAAGTTTTCTGTGTCATTTCTGCTCTTTAAAGAAACTTTCCAACAATTTCATGTTTGAAACTAGTATTTAAAGTAATTTTCTTCTAGCTTGTTTAAAATTTGTGCTCATCTTACGTTGTTTCAGAGAATTGAATCCATGGAAATTGCTGTTTTGTTTAGAAAAGTTTTTTTTGACTTGAATCATTAACTATCAACAATTTAGGGTGCAAGCGTAAAAAAGAAATAGAAACAGAAATAGAGAAAAGAAAAATCGAGAAACACAGTTATGACAATCAAGAGACCAGTTGAAAACTCAAATGAAAGTATTTTCCCTCCTTCTGAATTAGAGTTATGATCTTTGTTTATTAAGAGGAAACAGTTTTTCCTTTCATGCTTTAGCCGTCAATTTCGGCAAGCTAGTTCTGTTCCATAATTTGGAATGTTTTGCATCTGTGCAGGAGAAAAGGCTAAGTTGTTCGCAGATGTTGAAAAGGAATGGAAGCATCACAAATCTGTTGAAAACGAATTGTTTGAAGATATTGATGACTGTATCATAAAGGTAATCAAAATTTGCTGCACTTTTTGTTGAATACCATGGTCCTTGTTTTAATCAGAAGTTTGCATTTAATACACCATTTTTTTATCACTCGGTTAAATGAATATTAATCGAACAGAAAAATCGGGAAGAAATAGTTTTCATATCATCCCGACACCATTTTTTGCTAATCTACTGCATTTGAATATTCATCAAGCAATATCATTGTTGCCATCATCGTTGCATTTTTTTTAAGACAAATGATGTATTGCGAAAGAGTCAGAACAGTTGCAGATTTCGGAGAAGACGTTTAAGTCAGATGTTTATCCGAAGCAAAAAAAAGACTCTATTATCGTCAGAGTATAAAAATAGATAGGTAAAGTTCTATGTGTCAATTATATTCATTTGTTAATGTTGATAAAAAAAAAATTACGTCCCAAAGGTTCTACTACGTTGTCCCAGATTCTTACATTAAAATTAACATTTTAAGATCCTCAGAAACACATTAAACCAAATTGTGACCAATAATCTTTGAATAATAGATGCTGTTGGTACAAAATAAATAAAATATGCCATGAATGCATAAATACATTTTTAGTTTAAATATCACAATCCCTTAGTGCTGTAAAATTGTTTTTCAGTCACCTATTTGAAGATTGTTCTCAAAAATAATTATTATTTCAATTCTCCTCATACTCATTATCCGCTCATGAATTTTACTTTCAGGGACGAAGCATGGCCTTGAATCAGTTCTACAGGGTAGCACGGAATATAATGACCATCCATTTCGGAGCTGCCGCAGCGGATAAGGAAATTGGCCCAGATCCAGAGGATGTTGAGTCCCAATATTGGGATTATGTCTCATCCGGTCAAAACCACATATGTGTTCATTCAGCCTCCATCGATACGGGTGCTAGAGGCTATGGTTTTCCAACTACCAAAAATTCCACTTTTGCCAAACACAATTGGAATCTAAAAATCCTCACCAATAATAGCGGATCTGTTTTAAGGTCGCTGGGACCTCTAATTGGTGAGCATGTTCCCTGTTTTTCCACACCTCTTCTTTCTATTTCTTTTTTTTGTAGCCTTGTGTTTGTCCCAATTCACTTATCTTTTAATAAGATAATAGTGAAATCTTACTGAGTTGAACTATGGTTAAGACAAAATCCCGCTTAAGTCGAAAATTTCTATGGTCCTTAAACTTTGCCATAAGGGCAGTGTAAAAAACTACAAATAAGACAAAGTGACTCTTGTTGTGGAGGAAAAGCTCCTTAAAGTAAAGAAAAGTTTTTGGAAAACCTGACAAAAATTTGACTTTTCGTGTGAAAAATGAAGGGATATGAGCAACTTCAATAGAAAACAACGTTTCAAAGTAAGGTTTTTGAATGTTATTTTTGAAAGAAACACGAAAGTTAGAGCAGCAAAATCTGTGATTTTTAATGTCCACCGATAATTTTTTAAAAGTAAAGAGATAATATTTGAAAATTCACCTGAGAAATTTAAAACTAAATATTGATAATTGTAAAATTTGGAAAAGTTACTTCAAAAATCACTTATTATTAACTTGAAATTTCTTAGCTCAAATTTTCAAGCTTATTTCATGCTGAGCGGTAAAGTGCTGAGGCAAAAAGCCGCTCACGTCGAAATTTCTCTCGGTCTCTTAACAATTCGACTCAGCGAGATTTTGCTGTATGATTCTCCTTAAAAATATTATTATTTTACATTAATTCTAGCATCAATTTAAAAATTTTATGATTAGCTCATAATATGTGAAACAAAATCCTCATGATCTCTTAAGGTGATTCATCACGGTTTCTGGCATGGTCAAACTACTGGCATGCAATATATTGCATGCAAGTTTGACCACGTCAAATTAGAAATCTTAACCAATCACCTTAAATATTTTAAGATCTTTTGCATTGACAGTGAGAGTTCACCCTTCAAACTTCCCCAAAAAAATAGAAGACAAGAAGTAGCTGCTACGGTGATAGGTTAAAATGTCCAAAACAAAATGTCCAAAAGTCAAAATGTCCAAACCCTAAATACCCAAAAATCTAAAAAGGCCAAATATCAGTAATGTCCAGCAGACAAAAAAGTCCAAAAGTAGGCAAATGTCCAAATTAATGGAAAGAGTAATTATATACTAACTGTTTTCAGGCGTTTTCGTCAGAATCGGTGTCGGCAGCTTCGCGTTGCGGCTCCGCTGAAACGTGGACGTAATATGCCATCCCACGTAGGTAACGTGGGATTTCATCGCGTTCTTTGAATTCAGCGTACCGCCTTGCACGTCTTTCAATTTTTTCCTGATTCTGACGAGATTTTTTGCTGATTTGCTGCTTAATGTGGGTGTGCTCGTGGTCTATCTGTATTATCAACTGCTCTGTATCGTGCTGGTCGCTTCGGTCGGGTCGTTGCATGTTTCTTTAATTTTTCCAAAAATCGTCTAACTTCTACATTTGCCACGTCGGGAGCATGCAAATGCTTCGCCGTTCCGTCACTTTTGATATGCACCGCCCTCATGTCAGCATTGGTCGAGCACCGTGCATCACCAGTCGATCGCTCTACGCAACGCCAATATACGGTTGTGTCCCTGTAAGCAGAGTGACGTTGATATAGGAAGTTATTATGGACAAGAATAAATTTATTTTTTTGGCTTTTCATGACAAACGGGGTAATATTAGCCATGTTTGTTATGTTTGTCAATATCACTTAGAATTTTGAAAATAGATTACTAATGCATTTTTAAAAGTAAGAATTTACCTGCTCTCATGAAAAATTTTATCACCATTTTTTCCTAACCTGCATCTCTTCATTATCCGACACATCTGTTTTTATGGCTGCATTCACAAACAGTTTGCAAACCTGCACCCAAAAATCCAATGACAACTCAACCAATGCCTAACCTCACGTTTGGACATTTGCCTACTTTTGTCTGCTGGACATTACTGATATTTGGCCTTTTTAGATTTTTGGGCATTCAGGGTTTGGACATTTTGACTTTTAGACATTTTGTTTTGGACATTTTGACCTATCACCGCTGCTACCTATTATTTGATACCACAATTATGAAGATTGTACAGGTTTTGCAATTTTTTCAAAGTTAGAAAAAATTAACATCAATGATTTTCGCAAGAGCTAATTAAATTTTGTTCCAGGAAGGATAGTTGATAATGCACTAAGCTCTTAGGTGATCTTTTAAGTTAGCCTCTTGCTATAAGGTTGCTAGAACATTCAATGCATGCTTTGAGTATATTACCTCTGCATTGCGTTCAGTGAATTCAACCCTAGAAGAGGAATAATAGGTACAATGGATCAGTTGCATGTAAGAGATACTGAGTGACCTCTAATTAAGGAATATTGAACGGAAATCATGTTGAGCACATGAGGAATATAAAAAATCCACTTCTGAACACACGCTTAGCTTGGACAGTATTATGTTGTGTTTTTTTTTTCAATTTAATCCTGCCCAGGGGCAGTTTTTCAGTTGCCAGGAAATAGGTTTGCAAAGTGAGAAACGAAAGAAAACCTAACCTAAACAAACAAACTATCTTGCAAAATGTTCCTCATTTATTACATATTCCAAGTCTTCTTGTCCCTCAGTATTTCAAAAACAAAAGCTTTAAATCAATGGAATTCACTTGTAAGAAAGGAATAAAACAGTTTATGAGGTTGTTTATTTATTTAGGATAGATTTTCTCAGGTCTCATTCTGGGTAAGCTTGATTGCCTGCAGCAAAGAAAAATTATGTGCGGACGCAGAAAATTTTACAGACTTGGCAAATTTGGTGTGAAGGAGTAGATTTTAAACATTGCTGATATGCTAAATGTAATTGTAGAGCCATTTTATTCTTTGAAAATCTACTCATTTGACTGCATCTCTTATGTGCAACAGACATAATCAGGCAATTTTATGAAAATTGGGGTTGACTCCCTTTTGTTGGCCTGAATGCTAACACGATAATGATGTATTTTTTCAGGAGTGACAGTACCTACCCTGCACGTTGGGATGCTGTTCACAACATGTTGTTGGTATCGAGATCCGCATGGTCTTCCATGGATTGAGTACCTCCATACTGGTGCTAGAAAGATTTGGTGAGCCAATTTCCCCATTTTAAAACAATCACCTCCTTTAAATTGATATTGTACGGGTCCTGTAAGAACAAATTGTGCTTGTAAAATTTTGATTTTGGGAAATGTGTTGGTTCGGTCATTCTTTTCCTATGAGTGTTGATGAGTAATTCCTTCAATCAGGAAATGACTGAACCAATGAAAATGTTGCCGCGAAGTCTAATCGTAACTGCTCGTCAATTCGGATTTATTTCAGAAAATCTGTAAAGAGTATTCTCATCAAATTAAGGAGGCAGATTGAGTTCGCCGAATTTTAACCTTTAGTATTCTGTTAATTTAACATGTTCTTCTGAGTATTAATATCATTTCCTTTTTTTTCAGGTATGGAATTCCTGCTGAATATAATTCAGTTTTTCGAAGTGCAATGTCGAAACTTTTACCTAGTCATAAGAGGAGCGACCAGAGCGTGTGGCTGGCATCGGACACCGCTATGGTGCCGCCACCATTGTTGGTTGAGAATGGCGTTTCATTATCGCGTGTTGTTCAACAGCCAGGACAGTTCATCGTCGTCTTCCCTCGAGCGTTCACCTCCAGCATTGCCACAGGCTACTTGCTCTCTGAGTCCGTTTATTTTGCTCCATCATCGTGGCTGCAGTCGGCCAATGACATCTTCATTGTAAGTAAACGTTAGATCAACTGTAAATGTACTTTGTTTGAGGCACTAATTTGAATAGTTCACAGAAATATTGTTTCTTGTAGACACATTCTATTTGAAGTAATGGTGGAGTTGTGTCTTCAAGAATTGAATCAGTGAGTTCGAAAACACACCAACTCGGAAAAAAAAAGTTGTACCTACAGGAAACACCTAAAACTGCGTAGTGGGCGAAGAAGTTAGTTTAAGAGAAAACTTTTTGGTGCCAAAGGACAAGCACTTAGAGACTTTGTAAAGCAGCAAGTCGAAATCGATACGCCATGTTTGATGACAGAGAAGTAAGCATTTAAAAATTTCCGAGTTGGTGTGTTTTCGTTCTCACCAACTTTCAGATACTGATTTTTCATAGTCTGCCCTGAAAAATTGATATATTTTGACCTGAATAACGCTTGAATGTTTATATAACTTGTTGGCACAAGGTATACTGAACGGAAAAAAGAAAACTCGCAAAATCGGATGGTTACCCGTTTCCCTTGAAATGGCCAAAAATTGGAATTTCCAATGAAACACTTTGATTTTTCCCTTTTCCTGTCGCTGTTTCGAGCACTTCCGATTGAAATTTCGATATTTCCTTTTGCGTGCAGATGCTTCTATCCATAAGTGTTACTAAACCGTAAAAACCCGAGTTGGTGTGTTTTCGAACTCACTGATTCAATTGTTCCTTGTGTTTCCTTCTCATAATTAAGGATCAACTAAGAAGAGAGTAGTTTAGAGGATTGAAATCAGAGACCCTGTAATTACACATTAGTAACAATTGTAAAGTGGACTTGGCATATTTTCAAATGTGATCAATCAATTAAAATGTGAGACTTTAAGACTTTCCAATGTAGAATTTACTTAGTTTCCCTTGTATCTAATCCTCAATTTTTCTACACTTACCTGGCAAAACGTTGAATGGTGTCCTTCAAATTTTCCAAGATTTGTTGAGTGAGTCTCATTCTTTTTCTGGAATTGTAACAAATATCAGTTTGTAAAAATTAAATTTTTTTTAACAGGATCTGCAGAATAGTTGTGAGTCAAGTATTTTCTCTTTGGAACAACTCTTGTGCAGCATTGCAACTGACTCCAGAACATCGCTTGAAATTCTCACGCAGGTTTGCCATATTTATTTTACTATAATGCATTCATATTTGTTTCAAAAGATTTCCAATTAATTTTTGTATTCTTTAAATTATATTGAATTACTTTAATTATATTATGTTTAATTATCATAAATTTATGTATAATCTTGGAGTACCTTTATACCTCTGGCTGTAAACTGGCACCAAAAAATATTGGTTTTTTTCTTTTTTGTTTTTACAGGTATCTGTAGTTTTACTAATGATAGTCAAGTGCATGCAAACATATTATATCCTCCTAGTATACATCTTTTACGTTAATAGACGTCTTTTACCAATGAGTCCATCCTTACAGAACTCAAAAATTGAAAACTTTCATTTCTTTCAATTGCATTAGAGCATAGCTTCAATGGAGAATTTGCAAGGGTCTGAAAGGGGTGGGTGCAAAATCGACAAAATTTCCCCCCTCATGGATGTTGACCAAATTTCAGTATGTCATTTCTCACTATGGGATACGCCTTTTCCCAAAATTTCACGGCCTGAAACGAATTTCTCTCCGCGTAGCAGCGTTGCCAAGTTGAAAACCGTCGAGTTCCATATCTTTTGAACGAAAAGAGATATTGAGATGCGGTTTGCGCTAAAATTCTCCAAAAATTGCGTTCTTTCGATATATGTACTCAATTTGATCGTTTAGGTAATTTAAGATTGCAATGATGCCATTTTTCACACTTTCTTAAGGGTCAATTTTTTTTCAACCCTAGTACATCATCAAATGCCGGATTCTCGATTCGAAAAAAAAACTGTTCATTGTATTATTCGTGCTTTTCCATTTCTTTTGATATATTATAGCTCCCAGGGAAACGATTAGTAACGGAGATATGAGCAATCTAAGTTTACGCTCCGCGCGCGCCGACCGGAATCCGGGCGCCGCTCGCCGCTCTGAGTCGTCTGCACACTCCCTTTCTTAAGCTTCACGAGGTCATTCCTATGTATTTTTTTGCGTACTTTCCATTTCTGGCCTTTGAAAAGGGCTCCGATGAATTTTTAGGGGCCTCGCGGTCCATTGTTGCCATTTTTTGCTCGTATTTAGGGTTTTTTCCCTATTTTACTCACAATTCTACTGAAAAACTTAATTTAAACGGAAAACTGTGTGCGTTGAGGGAAAGAACGTAAAGAAGAAATAAAAATTCATGTAAAAATTTTTCCTTCGTTGCCAAATTTTCGAGAAAAATCGTACTAAAGAGCCAAATATTTGAAAAATTGGATAAATCCCCACGCCATGGTTTATGAAAGTGGGGCATAGCTTTCATATTGACGTACTTACGTAACAGATCTTACCTATCTATACAACATATTAAAAAAGCATAGTTGTATTTGGATTCCCACGATCTGAAAATTGTCCGGGATGTCACCTTTTGCGGTCTTTTCTTATGTGTAAGGTAGATCTTTTGAATGTTTTTCGACCTTTAGTCATCCTCCGTAGGGGTGTATCGTATGTATTTTTGCTGTAATTTTCATTTTTGAAAAGAACGTAAAAAAGTACATCATTAACGTTCGTAAGGACTTATTCTTATGTTGCCAAATTTTCAAGAAAAATCGTCCTAAAGTGCCAAAAATTGGATTAATTATGACGAAGATGTCTCTAGGAAAGTGAATTATGACTTCGACTTAATTTTATAATTATAATTTTAAGTATGACTTAATGCCACGGGCCACTTCCCCAAGATGAGAGGCAGAGAGGCTGCATGAGAAGAGAAGCCCACAATTGAGGAGCATTCCGGAAAAAGGGCACATACGCGTATGTGCCCTCTATCGGAGGTGACAGAAATGGATTCCTTGCATCCTAATGTACCAATGCCCCGAGTTTCAGCTTAATTGATCAATTTTTGGAGCTACGAGACCACGTTTTTTGAGGCTAAGAATAAGTCAGGGGTCACAGACGTATTTCATCTATTTGCTTCTGGGTACTTTCGCCGCGACGTTTAGGAGATAGTGCGCGGGCAGGCAGGGAGGTGATGGGTACTGATAAGGATCCCTCACTACAGATGCATCGCACTGATTCTGCTAATCAATGCAATAGCATCGGGTTGCAGGGATTGTAGGGATTCTCTACGCGTTGCACCAGTCACACGTGAATTTTTTTAATTATTAATGATTTATTTTTTATGGTCTCGTGTGAGATTGAATTTTTCGATTTTTTCGCGTGTTTCGCAGTCTTTTTCATTATTAATGATCGAAGATGATCCACCCGCGCGTTCTCAATCGAAATTATTATTTATTGGTCAATCGGAATTATTTACTCTTGTTTAGAAACTCGTTGAAGTCTCGAAAATTCAGCTTCAAAAGCCAAAACCTATGACCACTGGTCCATTTCCAGGAAAAGGGCACATAACGAACAATTTTAAAAAATTCTTCCCACAACACTGGAAGAAGTGTAAGTTTTACCAATGGCCGTTATTCATTCTGGAGTGTATGAACGTTGATATGAGTGCCTCAGTTCCGATGTATGTCATCATCAGTGGCCAGAAAGTAAGAATGAAAACTTCAAATGCGTTTTTCTCACAACACGTTTTTTCGGTATGTGCCCTTTTTCCGGAAAAGCTCTTCAATTCTGCATGAAAGTCATTATTCATTTCCTAAAACCTTCTACGTTCTACGACATATGGTTACGATACACCCCTACGGAGGATGACTAAAGGTCGAAAAACATTCAAAAGATCTACCTTACACATAAGAAAAGACCGCAAAAGGTGACATCCCGGACAATTTTCAGATCGTGGGAATCCAAATACAACTATGCTTTTTTAATATGTTGTATAGATAGGTAAGATCTGTTACGTAAGTACGTCAATATGAAAGCTATGCCCCACTTTCATAAACCATGGCGTGGGGATTTATCCAATTTTTCAAATATTTGGCTCTTTAGTACGATTTTTCTCGAAAATTTGGCAACGAAGGAAAAATTTTTACATGAATTTTTATTTCTTCTTTACGTTCTTTCCCTCAACGCACACAGTTTTCCGTTTAAATTAAGTTTTTCAGTAGAATTGTGAGTAAAATAGGGAAAAAACCCTAAATACGAGCAAAAAATGGCAACAATGGACCGCGAGGCCCCTAAAAATTCATCGGAGCCCTTTTCAAAGGCCAGAAATGGAAAGTACGCAAAAAAATACATAGGAATGACCTCGTGAAGCTTAAGAAAGGGAGTGTGCAGACGACTCAGAGCGGCGAGCGGCGCCCGGATTCCGGTCGGCGCGCGCGGAGCGTAAACTTAGATTGCTCATATCTCCGTTACTAATCGTTTCCCTGGGAGCTATAATATATCAAAAGAAATGGAAAAGCACGAATAATACAATGAACAGTTTTTTTTTCGAATCGAGAATCCGGCATTTGATGATGTACTAGGGTTGAAAAAAAATTGACCCTTAAGAAAGTGTGAAAAATGGCATCATTGCAATCTTAAATTACCTAAACGATCAAATTGAGTACATATATCGAAAGAACGCAATTTTTGGAGAATTTTAGCGCAAACCGCATCTCAATATCTCTTTTCGTTCAAAAGATATGGAACTCGACGGTTTTCAACTTGGCAACGCTGCTACGCGGAGAGAAATTCGTTTCAGGCCGTGAAATTTTGGGAAAAGGCGTATCCCATAGTGAGAAATGACATACTGAAATTTGGTCAACATCCATGAGGGGGGAAATTTTGTCGATTTTGCACCCACCCCTTTGATGAATTTCCTGTTTTAGTGGAATCCTCTGAGTGAACTGAACACGAAGATACCCTTGATTCATAAATTGAGCAATTATTAGAGGAGATATGACAAAATAACCGATTCTGCTAAAATACATGTGTTTAAATGGGAAATGCCGCCAGATGACGTCACAAGGCGGCACATTTTCTCACTTTTAAATCAATTGTTCTCCAATTTCCCATGTCAGAAAAAAATTATGAAAAATATTGCGAACTCAGCTCATTAGGCACTTTCAGATGAAGCAATAAAAAAATTGCGTGCAAATTCTCCATTGCAACGATTTCCCCTTTTATCTACACAAAAATAGAGTAATTTTCCTTTTTTCCACATCACTGTGCCATTATCTTTATTTACGTTGTTCAGGTTGCGCCTTTAATAAGTGAAATGCGGGATCGTGAAGTAGCACTGCGGACCCAGCTGGAAGATCTAGGTCTACGAGCAACTGAACGTCTGCCGCGGAATAACAAGAAAAGGTTGCAAGTGGATGAAGATGAAGATTATGAGTGCGAAATTTGTCATGCCAATCTGTTTATTTCTTTGGTGAGTTAGCAATTGTGACTTATTCAATCGGTTGCATCATAATGCAAAGAAATCTTTCTCTATGAGCACAAAAAATAATATTGTTCTGTAAATAAATATGTTCCCCACAAGAGACACTGACAACTGAATAGATGTTTCAAACGTGAAATTGCAAGGAATTCATGTTGAGCATATCGAATATGTTAAAAATTCACTCCTTAATGTATAATTTGCGTTGTCCATTTCACACATTTCCAAATTTAGTGCCAAGGTAGGCACTTATTTCGCAGTCATCAGCAATCAGGTTTGCAGTACCAGAAATCAGAGCATCTCCTAAACTGTTTCTCACTTACATTTCAATTTTTCCCCCTTTTTTCTTTGTCTTGCAAGAACAAATCTTTTAAAATGACTTGAGTCTACATCAGAAAGATGCGCAACAATTCGGAAGATTGTTGTCTTTTGAGCAAATCCAATTGCCGAGCTTAGAATATGTACAATGTCTGCAGATTCTAAGTTCAAAAATGCATTTGAAAAATAATATGCAAATGATGGTTTAAGGAGCGGATTTTATAAATTTCTGATGTGCAGTTTGTGCAAAATTTTACATTCTAAGGATTTTAATAGTTGGGTGTATCATCTGTGTGCAATGAAGTCTTAACCCAACTAACAGTGAGGATGGTGCCGTAATTTTATCAATGTCAATAATAAATGTGTGTGTATTGATTTCGGGATTTGATTTTCCAGGTCTCCAATTCTTTTGAAGAGGTCAATTACTGTCTTTGTCACGGCATCGAGTTATTATCTAAGAAACGGAATCATTTGAAGTATTGTAAATTGAAATACGCATATTCTGAGGTAAGTAAGTCTTTTCAAATTAATCCGTCTGCAGTAAAAGTGTCCTCATTCAAAATATAAATATTTTTGGAGTATTGAAAAAATGGGTCAAATCGTGTTTGCTTTAAAATTTGTGTTCAAAGACTACAGCCTCTTTTTCTGTGGGCGGTGACATTTAGACAATTTTCCAAAATTGAAGTACATTCAAGGATTTTTCAAGGTGAAATGCATTCCTGGTGGATGACATCTATCATTGCAATTTTCAATGTGCTTTATCTCAGTTAATTGTAAAAGAGGAGACTTGGCTTTTGGACTTATCTCACCATTCTTTGTTAATCAAGCTGCAATCAAAAAGAAAGGATCCTGCGATGTGGAAAAGTGTGCACCTTATCCTATTAACATTTTCATTTGTTCTCTTACAGGAGGAGCTGGAGGAGATTATTGTGAAACTAAATGAAAGGATAGAGATGAAAAGTCAGAAGAAGCTCACTCACAAAAGTTCTGGAAGCACTCCAACCAAATGAGTGAGAACCTAAGGCAGTTGATCTGAAAGTTCTTTATCTCATTATTGTATCATTAAAATTTTACATGTTTTTAAGTTTAATCAGCCTGAAAACTCATTGCTGCTGATCGTCACTTTACACTTGTTGCAATAGTTTAAATTTTAGCGAATCAATGTTCTAGTTTTTATACTATCCCAAGTCATATATTAAGGTGTAACTTTTCGTAAATGTACATACACGGCGGGGACCTTTGAGGTAATATTAATACTTTATTTACATTATTGTACTTATTTAACGGAGCGATTTTTTAGTATTTTAGGAAATGTGGTATGAATTTTTTTTTTAATTGTAGACTCGTTTATTATGCATCTCTGGAAAAGTGAAATGAATTTTATTATTTTGTTGAAGTTTGACTGTAAATAGTTGCTTTTAGAATTTTATTACTGTCTCTTGCTTGTGGGTAGTGCGTCCTCTTCATTTAATCATTGTAAGTTCAATAGAAATCAGGAACTGTTGATTTTTAATGTGATTCCACTTTTAACTCATGTGAATTGATTTATACTATCATAAAAGATTACTATCCTTTTTCTTCCTATGCTTTGACTTTTTACTCACATCATCTACCTTTATTACAAAATAGGTAACTCTAGAGAAGTTAATTTAATTAACATACATGTCATTTGTTCTCTTCTGGGCAAAACATCATGAATGGCAGACAAAGTTTCTGCAAGAGAAATTAAGTACTGCCCGACCGAAGTCTCATGCGTGTACAAATCTCAGGAAAGCATTAAATGCAAAGGGTTAGCTCACCATTTCTCTTGCATGATTTGTTCGCGCCTCAATTTCATTAGAAATAGAGTTTTTGGTGCCAAAATTGACGAAGTAAGTAAAATTCTGCCAATTTAGGCACTTTACTAACAGATTATGATTCAGCAGAAACAATGGAAAATGTCTTTATTTTAAAAAATAGAACAAAACGTTTAATTTAAAATACATATAGGTTCTCATAAACTCCTAATTTAACTTGGCATTTCTCCTCGTATAGAAAATAAAATTATAGAGAAAACGAATTCTGAACACAGATTGCAAATTATAAGTTTCAATGTACATTATGACCACTGTAATTCACTTTCTCTGAAGAAAAATTTTCTCTCAAAGATTGGCCAACCTACAGCACCAGTGATAATTTGATTTAAACAAAAAAACTGAAGACTGTGTTTTACATAGAGAGGAAAGTTTATGAGCATAAATACTGCGTCAAGGTCCAAAGAAATAAAGAGGACAAAAAAAAGGAAATTGCAGTAACAAAACACTTTATTAACTTACAGCACGGTCCTTTTATGAAAATTGATAGTATAATAACTTAAGTACTCTACAGAAAAAAGAAGGGGAAAAAAACTTACTTAAAATCAACTTTTTACATGTTTAATAATGAACAAAAAATATAAAAGATTTTTTATGTACACCCTCAAAACTTAAAAATCATGCGCTGGTCGAATTAGATAAAAAAAAACAAATTGAGTAAAAATGAAATTCCCATGAAGGGTGAGCAAGAAAAAAAACAGGGTTCTTAAAGTTAGAGGCGTACCAACGCCAGTTCATCACTTGACCCTACATGTGACAAACAAGCCTAATCAAGATTGTACTCTCCGTTTAAAATACATTTCTGAAGTTTACCTATTCAATACAAAGATCTTTTTGTAGACACAATGTTATCATGTCTCTGAAGACTAAAACTCTTACAAACGCATCAGCCTTAAACGTAGGAGACTATGTCAAGATACAATGATTAAAATCAGTCATTTGTGATAAAAAAAATCAGAACTAAAAATTGTTTACTCTAAGATCAACTTAATGAACTGAAAACTACTGAACTTTTCTGACACATTAAATCAATTTGGGATTGATTCCTTTCATGATTAAAACCTCATTTAGGTTCTAGAGGCAACTTCAAATGATATTTATGGACATCTGCCGAAACAAACGAGCAAAAGGGGACGAAATTTTTTCCAAGTTACAGACGATTTTTGGCATTTTTGTGATTTCATCATTTCTCGAATGAAAAAACATGACTGCACGCAAGTGTCACAAAATTCTCAATGAAAAATTAGGTTTTTACTAGGAAACTGTTGGGCGTTTCTAACTGACAATTTCATGGATTTTTTCTCTGATTACACATAAAATTCAGCAAACTTCTGAACGAAAAGCGCAGTTTTATCCTTATTGAAAATGTAGTTTTTTAGTCAACTTTGCAACCTCGGGATGGATTCACATTTCTTCATCTGAGAAACAACGATTTAACAATTAATGCGCATTCAGTTCCAATTCTCATAAATTGGCAATACTGGGCTCTGTTTATTTCATTGTTGGTTATATTTACTGAGCCACGGTGCCTTTCTGGAAATGTTCATTTGTGATGGGTTTAAAAAAAATAGTAATACTGACTTGCGGGAATCGTTGCTAACAGAATGGTCTTTCCGTAAAGTAAAAAAATAAAAACTTTAAATCAAATGAAAAAGGAAATATTGGAAAACAAAAAACGAAACGATAAATCTTCTAGAAATGTTAATTCTTTTCAGAGAGAGAGAGATAGAGCAAAAAAATCTCTGAAACATGTTAAGTATATCCATCATCTTTTTTACTTAAAAACTTCTTTAAAAAAAAAAGCAAATTTCTATTGTTGAAGTACTTATTCTAGGTTAGCTGCACAAGGAAAAGAACCTTTTTTCTATTCATTGATTCATTGTTTCGACTTGAAAAAATCACGATAGACCACTGTTTTTTTTATTATTAATATTAAGTTGTATTTTTATGGTTACGAGGGACAATATTTTGTTATCTGTTGGACCCAGAACTTAACTTTGGAATGATTCTCATTATACAAGATGATCCAAAAGCCCCGCTGCTCCAGGACCAGGAATCACTCCATTAACTTTTGAAAAACTGGAGATGGAGACTTAAAATTTAGCGAGTGCTTCTAGGTCAAAGGAAATGATTTTCGGAGCTCCTTCAAAATTTGAAGGGGATCATGCCGATAAGGGACAAGAACCCTAGGGGATTTGGAGGTGGTGCGGGACTATTTTATCACCTTGTATTTGCTTCTCTATACTTTATGCCCATTAGTACCTGTTACCAAGACACTTACAATTGACCCACTCCACCACAACTCAAAATGATGCTACTTGACCTTACAGTATAAGCCAGGATAGAAATTGCCCTCAATCTGTTCACTTTGCCTTAAAGCCAGGGGAAAATATCTTGGTTTAATTGAGTTACTTGTCTTAATCTGATAAACTATTATAAGTCATGGAGCAGTGCGGAACAATCTACCTTGAAAAGAATTGATCCATTAAAGGATTGATTTAGTAGTAAAGAAGGGAGATAAAGAGGGCTTCATTCACTTATTATTGGATACTTCCATGCTCATATTGAAATATTGTACATACATATATGACATTCTTCAAAACTTTCGACATAGATAGTTCCATACTGCATAATGATATGTAATTTTTACAATCAGCAAATTAAACACCTCTGCAGAGATGACGAAAAAAAAATTGTTATGATTTTAAATCAGAACAGCAATTCTAAAGATATTGCAGCAGTCGGTTAAATTTACACTTTGGCTTCAAAAATACACTTTGGCTTCAAAAATAATAAAAAGGTTTCTTGCTGGAATGATGTGATGCTTGGGTGAAGAAGAAAAAAAGTTGAATCAGTGGTAGGATTTGAGATACTTACGTTTTACAATTTTGACATCTCTACCTGAAGCTTCTACTTCTAGCGAGCAGCTTTAACGTCCAACAGACATAAAAAAAATACTAGTTTCCGAAGAATTTCATCTTTGTACTGCTGAAAATTTGGGGAAAAATTTAACTTTAAGTCAGGAATGTAAAAGTAAACTAATTTAAAGAAAGAAAAAAATGATACGAGATCCAAAAAAGGATATTGAATTGACGATGATTTTTAAAAGAAGACTAATTGACAATGATTTTTAAAAGAAGACTGAGTCTCTAAAAATACTTTGAAAGGAGAGCTAGTTCCTATTTTCTGAGGAAAAATTAAGTTTGGAACTAGATTAACCGATAATACTCTAAAAACATCTGTATCCAAAACTTTCTTTTGGTAAATTACAGCATCTTGAAGGGGTAGGTAACAAAAGAAGACATATGGAAAATCATTTTCGACCTCATTTTTTGTGACCTACTGTCATTTCATGGAACTCAAACTCACAAATGATCGAAGCAATTTTTTGAAAATGATGCGATGCAAATGTGATGATTAAATTTTGGTAAAAATTATGATAACAGTATAAGAACAAGAAAGAATACATCAAAAGGGAACACGGCATCACTTTTTTAACTGAAATCTTCATTGACAGTACAATTTGGATTGGCACACGTCATATCATGACTCTTTGACCTCATCCGTAAAACTTTAGCAAAGAAAAATTCTCTGCTGTGAAAGTGGATTTCACACTTAAAGTGAAAATGAAAATTTAGAAAGATTCAGTAAGAGCTGACGCTGCTTAGAGCTATTTCACCTTTATCTTACAGTGATAAAAGAAATTAATGTAAAAAAAAGTTCAAAGAAAATTTTTCTTGAAACAAAAGACAGAGATCCAAAATTCCTGTTCTCCTAGATAATCTGTATTATCTAACATTACTTTGTTTCTTAATACCTTTGTAAATTTAATTCATAAAGATAGATACCTACAAGGCATAATATATATATTTTTTTTTACAATAGTTTTAAATAAAATTTGTTTTAAAAAAAAAATGGAAACTAAGTTTGGCAGGCAAGTGTGTGAGAGAGTTTGAGGAGAATTCTTAACCTGTTAGATGATCTCTAATGTGTTTTTCTAAGTATTGTTTGGTAAAGAACAATTTGGAACAAAACTCGCAAAAACTACTTTCCCCAGGAGCAAAATGAATGAACAGATGCTTCTCGAACTCACTTTTTGAGAAGAATTTGGCAGAACAAAAAGGTTCAAAACAAGTGAAATAATCATGCAAGTCTCGCTCATGGTCTACCAATTGATCCCAACAAGAGAAAGACTCGTAACAGAAGATGCAATTAACAAACGATTCACTAGACTCAAATTTGGTGAGAAAATCGACAAATGGACAGAGTTCTAGAGGAATAAAAAGGTTATGAAGGTTCATTTTATGCTTCCGCATAACTTGGCGATTTTTGTACATGTTATCACAAATATCACATCTACTATTTTTATTCTCCTTTAACCTCACACACTCTTTTCTTACATAGTGCGAGGCAAAACTAGTGGAATTCTGGAAAAGCTTTTGACACAGCCTGCACTCATAATAGTAAATAGAATTGTGACAATTCTCAAAGTGATTAAAAAGTCCTTTCTTATTGCTATGGTTTTCGTTACATAAGTGGCATATGTAATTGCTTTCATTCTGATCATTCTTTTGCTTTTTTCTTGAAATTCTTCCCTTGACAGTTGACTTTCGTTTCAGATTTTCCAGCTTCGACTTTTTACCACAATTTGTTCTTAGAGCACTTTCGGGGCGGTTGTGATTACTTTCATTCAGGCACTTGGCTGTGGGAGGTTCTTTGTCACATTCAGAATGGAGTTCCGTGACACATCCACTAATGCTATCTATTTTTGGGATAGGCTTTTGGTTCTGGTCTGCGATTTCAAACTTTAACAACTGACTATGAAGCATGGAGTGGTTCGAACAAAAATCTCTTAAAAATGTCAGTTCCGATTTTTGGAAATCTCCTTCCGAACATGAATACTGGGGACATAAGTGAGTTTCATCTACTGGCATCTCCGCATCCAAACTCAGTTTAGCGTATAGATGATAGACTAGACATGCTTTGACATTGAATATTTGACCGCAATGAACGCACTCGTATATACTGTCGAAGTTGTGGCTCTCTTTCATATGCGAATACAAATTTGGTCTAGCAGTAAATGCTGTATTGCACAGTTCGCAAGTGGCTTCAATGGGCTTCTCTGCTGGATGGATGCGCTGCGACTGTAATCGTTCATAGACATCATCCGGGATGAACTGAACATCAACAATGAAACACTCCTCGCCGTCAATGATGTCAGTATCAGAGTCTTCATGAGGAATCACAAAAGATGGTTTAAGGATGAATGATTCATCCATAATAGAAACTCCATCATCCGAGGTTCCGATTCCTGAGTCATGCGTCTTTGTTACCTCACGTTCCAGCACATCTGTGGCTGGACTCTGTCTCTGTAAGTCGTTTGAATTGGAATTTTCATCAGAATTTTGATTTTCTTGGTCAAAACATCGAGCGATCTCTGAACTACAGGATTCTTCGCTCATAAGCTCTGAACTAACGCAGGAGTTCTCTGAATCACGTCTGTTTGAGCGACTCCTGACTTCATGAATTGAAGATGAGGAATCCTCCGAGACAAGATCAATTATAGTAGAGGCCTCAGAGCCTTTTTCCGAGATTACTTTGGTTTCTTCAAAATTAGATGCTAAAGATTTTGAGGGAACTAGACATTTTCTGCCAGGAGAAGTTAGAGGCTTCCAAGAATTAGTACTTCCATTTAAATCCACACTAAACCTCCTTAATTGATTGCAACTGCTCGAAGCAAGAGAGCTGTCACTATCATTGATACAGGTATCATAACAGCTGTCTTTACTTTCTTCTGAGGGAGTCTTCCCCTCGACTACAGGTTTTTTTATCATAAAGGATGTTTTGCGCTTTCCGCTAACATTCGGGTTGGGAATTATGACAATTGGATTCAACCTTTTGTCGACTGTCTCTTCAGGCATTTTCAACCTTGAGTTATGATTTAAATACTTATAGCAATTCTCATCATTTTCCAACCGGACCAGTCTCACAACAGGCAACTTCAGAAACAGATTCGAAACTTTGTCAATAGTGGTGCCTGACAACTGAGAAACCTTAAAGGAATTAAAACCATTGTGCGATGCTTTGTTGGGAACTTCACAGTTACCAACAGTTACCTTACAGTTACTAACCTTCACTTTCGTCACTTTTTCGATTGATGAGTCCGACGATGATGACCCTTCATCACTAAAGATGTACTCACTATCGCTTGACTCATCACAAGTTCCTTCACTTTCTGATGGTGCTGCGCTGTCTGAATTGTAATACAGGGATTTGTAACGCTGCTCCTTGTACGAGCTCTGCAGGTACTTCAAACAATTGGCATCGTTTTCTAATCTGGTCAATCTGATGTCTGGGAATTGGAGAGAACGGTAGCTACTGGCCTCCAGCAGACTCACATCTGAGCAGGGCTCCGAGAAAGAAGACACATTCTGGAAAAAAGACACACCAAGTTAAACTCAAACAGAAATAAATAAAACTGCAGTAACATTCAATAAACCCCTGAGGTTTATTAACTCAATCATAACAATTGCTTTGTCAGTATACTAATACAGATAAGATCAACCTGGTGATTACCTACTGCTCCCTATTTTTCTCCGTTTTGATTTAAACATTTATTCAGCCTCTTGGCTACATTTTGTAGTGATCTTTCTACAGAAGAGCAGTCTCCAGGCACAGAGCTTCTATTTAAAAATCTTTTGATTGACTCTCTCGTACCTTTGATCAATAATCATTAAGCATTATCCATAAGAGAAGTTCAGAACAAAGCCTGTATCTACAAAAACTTCAAGAGCTGTTCATTATCATTTTTAAACTCATGATACAGATACTTGGATTTTTCTAACTTGATGACAGATTACTATAATTTGACTGCATCTTGAAGGCTATCCTGGAATGGCAAGTAATTTTTAAGAGCAAAGGAACTTTACGATTTTTAGATGCTTGAACAGCTTTTTATCTTGGCTGAGCATTGATAACTGACTTTGAAAAAAGCGTAAGTGCGGTGTTAAGGGGGATTTTGAATTGCTACTTTAAAACAGACTCAAAATTTGTAGGAAGATATTTCATGAAAGGTTTCCATTTTTGAAGATTCATCATGGGGGGCTTACAGCAAAGGGAAACAAATGTTTGATTACAAAAATTTTGAATAAAAACAGACTACATTAATGGCTTCTCTCCATTGTTTTTTTGTTCCTTGACGAGTGTTTTTTTTAATGGATCGATCAAAAAATGAAAATTCTTTACATTGACTGTGAAAGAAGTTGAAATTTAGATTGTGGTAGCATTTTTAGCAATTACTGATACTTCCTAAAAATATTTACACTTGCTTATTGTGTTAGTTACCCAGAGCAGAAACCTGAGCACCCGTTTTTTGTACCTTCACCACATGAACCCATCCGTACTTACTGATCTTAAGTCAAAACTACTCTGAATAGAGTTTCCCCCTACAATGAGCCTAGGCTTTTTGTTACTCATTCGCCAAAATTCTGATGGCCGAATTTTCAAGAAAAGGGATTACTCTTTGATCAAGAGTCTCTAGAACAAAAAATTTGAAAAAATTAATGTGATGGATGAAAAAAAAAAAAAAAAAAAAAAAAATTATAAGCAAAGAAAAGGTAAAGAAACTCCCACTTAAATTATTTTGGACAATTTCAATTTTTTTACCTCCAGAAGAAGAGAAACTATAAACTAGGAAGGGAATGCATGGTGATCAACAGTAATTGTGTCGTGATAATAATTTTATTGGTGATGACAATACTTAATGGTTATTTGAATTGTTCCACATGAATCCTTCTTGCTGTAAGTTTTCTCATAGATCCCTCCCTTTGCCTTGAAAATGTTAAATTACACTGGAAATTATCATTTACATTCTTTGTTTCTGTTTGCTATTGTTTTTATTTCATTCATTTTGTATGCCTTCTCTTTTCAGTGCAATTAATAAAAATAGTCACTTTATTTTTTCAATCATCCCATTTTAGTATCTACTTAATGTTTAATTACAAATTTTTGCAGCTAGAGATTTTGTTGGGGAGATATTATGTATTTATAAAAAAATTAATATGGCATAAAATGAGGCTGTTTTTAGCTTGGACTGATCAAACTAAAACCAATGACCATTTTTATAACATTCTAACAGCATACCTACATTAACTTCTGTCACTGTAAAAGTACAGAGAGTTGACTCCATTCTTCTCAAACATCTGTTCCCTGGTAAGCAGGAACAAATACTAAAGTTCTGTTGAAACTGAGATATGTTCAAAGGTCGATTTCAGCCGCCCCCACATACTTAAAAAGGCATTATGAAAAAGATCTCAGATTATTGACAACTACAGTTAGCAGTTTTCATTTTCAAGTGTCTTTTCTTCAGGGATTTTGAAAAAATGAAGTCTGGCAACTCCACAAAAATTTGTATGTAATCTCAAAATTCAGGCACACAGCCATAAGCCTGGATAAAAAACCTAGCTCATTTAGTAACTTTAAGGCAGACAGAGTCAATACTTCCAACTCTGATTTTTACTTCCAATTTGCAAGCGACCGCATTGCATTCGTTTGATAGCCATCTAGGATTAACCGCCGGTATGGACGCTGCCGTACGCAGACGGTAAACCAACACACTACATTCCGAATCAGCTGGAATTGAAGCCCCAATTATACTCCCTCTGACAGGCAGCCTACAATGAGGCAACCAAGAAAAGGGCCACTGGGCGCAAGCGCAGCCAGGGAAACATAGCATTAATAGGTTTTAATGTCTTCAGATCAAGCGTACGGAATAGTCTTGACAGAAAGACAAGAAGACGTAGAGTAAATGAGACATTTAGTATCTGCATTCTCCAAGATACTGGGTCTCAGCAGACACAATTACTTAAGATTGCTGATCGATTTAGATAACTAAAAAATATAAACCAAGGTGACGAATAAAGGAATGCATACCGGTTTCATCTCGTATTGCAGCATTGTTTACAGCGTAACTAGGGTGGAGATTGCAACAGTTGTTAGTTGCAAAACTTTAAAAGCATAAGTCCATCTTCACAAATTCAGGAGCAACTGCACTTATGTAAATTGAAGATTCATCATGCAACCGCTCTGTTTACAGCAGAACATTTTTTTTCCTGCAGTGGGGGCAAGAAGAGCAAGAGATCAATAAGTAAGTGGGAAAATATTGATAACTACTTCACCGTATGTGTGGAAACACACACGAAAACTGATTCCGATGAAATAATAACGAATGAATGCACTTTCTATTACATTATGACAATAAAATATAGCTAGACGAATTCCTGGAGCTAAGGGTGGTTAGGTCCGCTTGCTGAAATCAGCATTCAGCATTGTATTGATGGAGCTAGAACTGGCAAAAAAAACAAACTCCGTCACGGATTTGATGCTTGACCGGCAGAAGAGAAAGGGAAAGTAATAGTGACGTCATCAAAATCATTTAGAAAATTCTCTGTTCTTTCATTGGCTGATAATGTGACATTGCTGGTTATGACGTCAGATTCAGGTTTCGCGCATACTGAATTTTCATTGGTCCGTTCGTCCCTCGGTTTTGTTTATATCTTCAAAAATTTGTATCATGTATCCAAGTATCATGTTCATGTATCATGTGTCAAATAATTGTCAATCAGTTGTCAATACATGTTGTTCTTATCTATTATTATTGCACACAAGCAATTATTGCAGTTTGTAAGGAAAATTCTAAAATTATTTCGTTATCTGGAAGACTATAGGTTCGTGAAATTCAGTGTGTGTGAGCCATAGTTTGCAGCTTGTATCCCTCAAAACTTCAGAATTCAACGGATAGGTAAAACTGTAGCTTTGATAATCCCTTGATCTATGATTTCCTCATGGGAATCTTACAAGCACCAATGATTGGCGAACATTGAATGCAGTTCCTTAAAGATAACAGGTATCTGTTTAAGTGGCAAAACAAAAACAACCCTAGTCTTGATGAAAGTACCATGAAAAATACCAGGTATTAGCGGTACCCGAGAATCAAATTCTTGTATTGGCCCAGAGTATGTGAGTACTCATCAAGTGAAAACAATTGATAACCCTAGTGCTGTGACATGATACACGTAATAGTTTTTTACAATCAGGGCATTGGTGATGTATAGAATATTTTAATGATCTTCTGAACTAATTCTTACATTTTGGTGTAGTTCTAATAGATTTTATCTGAATGTAGGTGAAAATACAGTGTGAGTGTCATAATGGCCTTGTGAGAGAATTGCGGTCAAGATAACAGATGCACACCACAAACTTAAAGTATAGGATAATTCAATATGTCTATAATGTCACAGATTACCCTATCCTCTGAGTTAGTATCTCGAGACTTTAAACACTATTCTCTCACACTGGGTTTCCACCTAGGTGTGTAGATATTGCCCCTGTTTGCAATTTAAGGATTGAGACAACTGACACCTGCACAGTGATCAATGAATGAAGCTTTTGAAGAAAAGAAGATTTGAATCAGACACTTGGGAAATATTGGTGAAGATTTGTAAGAAATTGAGTATTTTGTCAAAAATTTTAAGGAATTGGTGATTACTTAGATGCGATCCTTTTTATACTTACCATTTTGTTGCAGGTCTGTTTTATCCAAGGTTGCAACATGGAATCTGACCTATCAGAGGAAGACAAATTCCTTAATATTTACCAGAGGTTGGAATTCAGCCAGAAATTAGATCCTCACCAAGCTGTTTGTGATTCCAGAAATCAGTTTTTTGTGTTCTCTAAAGAACTTGAAAAATGGACGTAAGCATTACTGCAGGAAACTTCCCTCTTGACAAAAACCTAAGTCTGCCAGAATCTAATTGGCCTTTAAAGACATTTCAGTATGTCAGACAATGAAAAGATTCGCTTATTGTGCTGAATTGTTTGGCAGCAATTTATGAGTATTGAAAATCAAAGAAAGAATAAAGCACAACGAATGGAATACCAAGTAATTTGGCGCTGGCCAAACTTGATTTTATTTGATTTGACGCTCCTTGCGACTGCCTGATCATGCTGAGTTTTTATAATTGAGCTTTCTATGCGCCAATCTAGAGTATAGTGGGGCTGATAAGATAATTTTTTGGTATTTTCCCAGGCAATTTCTGATTGAAATGTTGTAATATCTAATTGGTAACGGACAAAAGCTTTTGTTTCCTCGTAAGCTGAGCAGATAAGACATAAAAAATAAATTTCCTCCAACTGATAACAGCGTGCAGTTCACACAGACAAAGCAGCAGTCCTATAGCCCCATTAGACAACAGGTGCAAGAAGGTCAAGAAAATTACTATTCAGTCCCACTTTTCCCAACGCTAACACTCATTGTGCTGAGGAGGCCTTGAGGAAAACCATATCTAATAATATTTAAGTTCAGCTGAGGCCAAATTTCTTGGTATTCTGCGTGAAGTTCTTCTCGTAAAATTTAAAACTAGTTATCATCTACATAGATTTTGGTTTTTTATGAGCCAGGATTTTGAATTCACTGATTCTAGTGTGAGTTATTAATGCTTGCCTCTCTTTTATGAAATGATCTATAAAATTCTCAAAATGCACACCAAGTTCTACGCAAGATTTTCAAGATGAAGTTTTTACTGTGGTGCCTCATTCCTTCCCTGTCACTAGACTGAGTCAGTACAGTGGTCCATCAAACAGTTGGTAATCTGTAAATATGGGTCTCTGTTTTAGTTGTAATAAAACTCAGCTTGTTTGGATGGACATTCATTTGAATAAGATCAATTCAGAAGTTGATAAATATGACACGGAAGGCAGTATCAATAATGATTGCGACGCCATTTCTAGACTTGTGAAACAAAATGGGAAACACACAGGTAAGAGCCAGTCTTTCTAGGATTACAATGTAAAGCTTCTCTTCAGGGGGTGCCAAAAGTGAAGGAATCTCAATTAATCATCATTGAGAAGACAGTGGAAAGAGAAGGGCAACGTTTCTCCTTGAAATTTCTAATATAATTTTAAAAAATCTGAAAATTTAGAGGCTTTCCTCAGGTTTGTATCGTACCCCAACTTGCTGGAGAAAAATTTCCAGTGCTCAATAGCCTCACAAAATACTACATATAAATAAATGAAACTTTAGTATGGGTCGAGTCCTTGCCAAATGAGTTTATGCACTTTTAAACTGCGACAGAAGATTGTGTGATGTCAGTTCAACTTTGAAAGTGAATGCAATGATCAAGATGGCGAATCCTCTGTCGCAGTCTCAAAGAGTGTTAACTCAAATAGCATGGACCCCAGCGTCAAATGAAAGGAGACTTATGGGGGTGCAATAAAAGCCAGATCTCATGATCTGCAAACAGAAAGCCGGAATTCAAATATAGGGTTGCAGAGAAATTTCAAAAAGTGTGCTTGTATTTTGTATCTTCATTACATTCAAAATAAGGCATATTGCACATCTTGCAGTGAAATTGGAAATTTAAGTATCCACTCGACAAAGGAAGTATGAACAAGAGCTTAAACAATGGAATTAACTCAACAATACATATTAATGTATGTCTAATCAATAGACATAGATGTAAAATAGGCATGAAGGCTTCTGTTGCACTTACTGTCTTACTATCATCATTTTTGCTAGAGAAGTCACTGGAAGCCTCGACTGTTAGCAACCAGCAAGAAAATTCGAAGGAGTCCTCCAATTTACATAGTTCTAGCTCCGTTACATTGCGCATTTTTTAGGTCTTTACTGGAAAAATCAACAATATGTAGTGGTTTCTGTATGAGCCAATTTGATTATCTTCCAAATCATTCCATGAAAAGATTTTTAATTTTCAGATGCTCCTAAATGGAAGAGCTGCCTCTCAGAAATGGATGACTCCACGTTCTTTGATCTAATCAGATCTCCTGGTGAGTGCAAGAATCCAAATGTTGTAGAAGATAGCCCAACTGTCCAAAGTCTGATTAGTCTTCTCGTTACAAACAGTGAAAATACAAATAGACAACCTCCGCCACCTTCATCCATCCTCCATCCAGCCGCACCTACTTATAAGAAGGTGGAAAAATCCAATAACACCGTACACCCAAAGCAACCAGTGAATCTCTTCAACTCGGGACGTTCCATTTCAACAAATTCAGGTAAAACTAATGTGACAGTTTAAGGAAAAGGCACTTCATTGTCGGAACTTTAACTACATTTTTTATGAAAGAACTACCGTTTCTAGCACATTCATAAAAGTAACCAACTGCATAAGGAAACTAATTGCTTTTATGGACTACTTTTCACAATTACGACCTACAGTTTGCGGCTCAGTTTAGAAACAGCGCATATATCATTAGTTTTCCTGTGTTTTAAGTGTTTTCACGGATGAGTCATAAAATGTAGGTCCTGATTGCAAAATGTAGTCCTTATGATGTTGTTGAAATGAGTCTTAAATAGTACATTTCAGTCACTTAATGCCGTCCAACTAAAAATGGAGTCTGTTATGATTCAAGAAGAGCTTCATGATAATTTTGGGGAGACAAACGTTTAAAGCTACCCAAAGTTCAGATCCAAAGTTATCAGATCAATGTAACTAGGATGAGCCTAACTTCTACTATTTTATTAACATGAAACTAATCAATGCACTACTTTGAAATGCAGTGAATTTTCCTTGGATCAAGAAGAATATATTTACAAAATTCCAAGTTAAGTGTTGCTTAGGTTTCTACCGAAAAGCATAAAACATCAGGAGCATTTGGCAATGCCTAATGTGGTACAGCTATTTCTGTTTAAATCCATCCAATTTGAAGTTTCCTGTTAAAAAATCAGTTTTAAGGAGAAGCTATTTAGACTGCATTACACATTTTTGACTCTGCAATATGAGTGCATCTATTTCACAGAAAAACTAATGGCATTTGTGTTGTTTTTATGATTAGCTAGAAATATGTTTTCTTTTTCGAGGAATGTAGTCCATTTAAAGTTTTTATCTACTGTGTTGAAGGCTCAGAGTTGGACCACATTCTGGACAAAGGAACCATTATTTTTGGCATGTCCGTTAAAGCACATAGATATCTGCATAGGGAAACATTCTGTATGCAGTATTCCTTTCCGTGTTATTTAGTTTAGATGCCTGATTACAGTGCAACACCCAAAATCAGTATACAAATGAACTGAAGGCTCAGCCTTTATGGTGGAGAAATTAGAAATTGATGTTTCCGCAATGAGTCATCTAAGGAACTTTATGAGATTTCCGTTGACATTTTGGTATGTCCAGTTTGGTTGCCGACTGGCACGGAACATAAAGTGCCGTACTTTTAACCTCCTTTAACATAATTTATGGGATCTGAAAGAGAATTCTTCCAGGGAAAACTAGAATTCCAATTTTTTGATCCAATTATACAAAAATCCCTTTATTTAAAACCTTTTCCTCCTCGCATTGAGGTACCATTGTCGTCAACAGCTCCTCCCAAACTCTTTCCAAAATTTGAGTGTAAACTATGTGAATATCTCCCAATACCGAATAAATCTTGAAACTTGTACAATGTACATGCTGGAAAAACCATTTATCAACATGAAAAGGAGCATGTCGTCCTGTGAAATCATTCACAATTTTCATAATGTATGCTTTTTAATTATTGTTGATTGTGAGTATTACTTCTCTTTCCTCACTTTTTTCGTGTTTCTATGCAGATTCTTCATCAAATGAAACTGATTTTGCCAAAGCCTACGGCAAAGATTCCTTCAATAGAACAGGTATGAATAAAGAAAACAATGCTTGGACTCATATGGGAGATGAAACCGAAGAATGGTAAGATATTTAGCCTTTTGGAATTTTATAAATAGTCGATGAATTTTAGTGTCCCCTTTTCAGAACCTCTTACTTTTAGTGTAAAGGACGAATGTTCTCATCCCATTTATCTCATTTGCACTTAATTTAGTAGCCCAGTCAGATGTTGGAATGTTGCCTTTAGAAATTCGTTCCCAAATGTGTGCAAGAAAATTAATGCAATTAAAAGGAAAAAGAAAAATAGGAACATAAAATGCGAGAATTAAAAGGCATTATCCGCTACTCGCTTTTTTGGGAATCATTTGCTTCTATACTTCTCACCTATGATGATTCATTTATTATATTTAAATTATCAAATCATCAGAGAACGGAGAGGAATTAGAGAATAAAAGAGATGCAATTCTACCTGCTTGACTGAAATTTCACCGAGTGATCGAGAATTCAACCAAAATTAACTTAACTTTATTTTTCAATACCCATTTTTTTCTGTCTTGTTATTATTTCAGCTCTTAAGCAACATAATTCTTTGAACCCGTGAGTCTCCCCTAGCTTATAGAGGACACACTCACATAATTTTGTGCCAAAATTTTGCTTGTTTCTCTACTGGGTTGATAAAACATGAAAACTAAAAAGTCCAAGTAAAATGCAGTCATGCTGATTCTGGCGAAAGCTAGCTAATTTCAAGCATCAGCTCTTGTCCCGCCTAAAATTACCACACACTTGTATTTTTAAGCAGCATGCAGTGGAGATACAAATGCGAGTACAAATATCAATGTGTGGGAAATAATTTTACCAGCACCTATGTCAATCCAGGATCTTCGGGTAAGTATTCAAATGAATTTTCTTTTTTATTTACTACGTTCAATATCTGACTTGAATTCCATAAATTTTTACATTAACAGGTACCAGGCAAACAATTATGGTGGAAGAAAATCTCATGTTGCTGCAAGCAATCTAACTTCAAAATATGGAAATAAGCCATCTAGTGGGATATCCAGAAGCACCGGAGTATCTAATGCGGGGTCCAGTAGTGCAAGTAGTCATTCAAACAATGTATTCAGAACTGCACAAGAAGAACTAGTATGTTCTCAACCTCTTATCTGGTTTCCACATGACATTAATTTTGGATTAAAAATCAAAATTGAGAATTAATTATGATTTTCAATGCTGATATTTTGTAGTGATCTCGTAGGGGAGTGAAGCTTAATTACCTTGTAAGGTGTTATTGTTTCAATATTGCCTGAATATCCCAAGAACTCTGACAATACTGGAATTTGATGTTGTAATAATGTTGAGAACACGTACCAATGAGATAGAGAGCAATATTGCGAAGCGTTACTGTATCACTATTAGAAGTCGATATTAGCAAAAAACAGTGCTGATGCTTTGTTTTCAGTCTGTTTATGTACTTACACTGTGTTGTAATTAATTGCAGGACCCTTATGTGGCCAATATTGTATCAATACTGTTTAAATGTTGGCAGTTATTCATTGACCCCAACCTTGTTGCAAGCTAGCATTTATTATCTCCCAGTTTGTTCCTAGAGTGAAAAAGCTGAATATATATTACTTGACCAAGCTTAATTTCAAAATGTGCCTATTTTTAGGGGCATTGGGAATTATTGAATCCTATATAGTTGACGTGTTGATTAAAATGGGATAATTGTTGGTAACAAACTTAAGTGATCTGTCTGGCAAATGGAATCTTCAAGTGCCTGACAGGACTGTTTCTCATGATGACTTGAGCATGCTTCAGGCTAAGTTCCATTTAATTTCACCCAGAGATAAACTGTAAAGCAATTCTGTAACTACTAATCTAATAATTTATTCTTCCAGAGAATACAAAATGTCAATAAATATGGGAACGCAAATGGTCCGTACAATTCTGAAAGCACCAACGGAGGTTACGGAAGTCAAAAGAAATCCCTCGGTGGCATCGGCGGAAAACCTCGCAGTGTAACTAGTAAATTTAAACCGCCTGTGCCGTGTGAAGAGTTAGTACTTAACCATTAAATCTCTAAGTGATTTTTATATGTACATTGTTTGAGGTAACAATGGGATCTTTCAATAAATTGCTTCTCGTGTTTCTTTTTCTACTCAAAGAGTAACTAATGAGAAAGCAGTTTAGGAAAGTAAGATTGAAAATCCTGTAACAATTTTTGGAAGCTGCACTTGCAGCAAGTTCTGATGTTTTGCATCAGAATGTTACCCATGCATTGCCCTGTTACGCAAAAAAAAAAATTTCAATTAAATAAGCCTGGCCCAATAATGAATAGCAACACTAAATTCAAATAGGAATGCCCTGTATTGTCGTGAAACATTTTCAATTGATACATGTTGCTTTTTTATTAGTTGAAATAACAGCCTACTACTGTAACAATCTTGAGTTATTCAATTCCCAGGGACTTTATGTCAATCTGTAGAAAATGAGTGTTTCCTGGAAATGCAACCAAAATCAGCTCTCTGGCTGTCTTAGTTCAGAAGTTAAAGCACTATTCTCAGTTCTTTAGAGACAGTTTTAGTAAGTCCAATGTATGAGAAAATCCGAGGAGACAAGTTTCTGTATTAAACCGATTGATTTTTTTAATTTCTCCAGGAACAGTTGGGGTTCACCAAACGAATCTTGCAAATCAAATAATGACCAGGGACGGAGTGATCTGTTGAAGTGTATCGATGAAAAAATGATAGAAATGATCGAAAATGAGATCATGGACCAAAGCACTCCAATCACATGGGATGATATAGCTGGATTAGAGTTTGCCAAGAAGACCATTCAAGAAATTGTAGTCCTTCCATTTTTGCGCCCTGATTTATTCACAGGATTGCGGAGTCCTCCCAAAGGAATCCTGTTGTTTGGACCTCCTGGAACTGGAAAAACACTGATTGGTATATTTGACTTCATGTTTCTGCTTCTTGAAGGGATATAATATCCATGTTAATGGCAGGAGCAAACTCTCACTCTAATTAGAACCTGAGTTTAACGCATTGACTTACCAATAAATGTTTGATCAAACATGCAATAATCAGTAAATTTGAAAAATTATTTTAATGGATCATTAGACAAGGTACAAAGTTAAGCATTCTGATGCATGTTTCTTAACCAAAATTTCATGTAGAACACGATTTGCGCAGCAAAAACTACTAAAATAAACTCTTAACCAAGATATTTAATGTTTATTAACGCGTGAATTCAAACCTCCTGCTCATAAAAACGCAATGGTCTATGTTAGCCAAATTGTACACCAAACGTTACCATGGCAGTCTCTGAAGTTAATCTGAAGTTTACATCGACAGGCTATTCGACCGGCCAATTGACTGATGATTCAACTGTTCAATTGAAATGAGATTCGACTGGTCCACCAACAGAATAATTGATTGGTGGTTTGACAGAAGATTCAACTGGTATTTTGACGGATAATTCGACAGGTTGATGGATGGAGGCAATAATAATTCAGTATCTTAAAATTAAGTCCAACTTAATTTTGAGTTTGTTGGCACTGAGGCCTCTTTTCCTGTTACTGTTATTTTGACTGGACTATACAGAAAGCCCACAGGCTTGACTAATGCCTGTCTGTACCCTTTATTGCTTCAGGTAAATGCATTGCCTCAGAATCAGAATCAACGTTCTTTAGTATCAGCGCCTCTTCTTTGACATCAAAGTGGATCGGTGATGGGGAAAAAATGGTCCGTGCTCTTTTTGCAGTCGCAAGGTTTGTAAAATTTTGTACCTACTCCAATTGCATTTGGTTTATTTTACAATTGTATTGGTCTTTCTCAAAAAGACTTGAGTGCCAGCTATAAAAATATGAGGATAACAGTGAAAAGTGTTTCAATTGACCTACTCGAAATCCCATAGCTCAGAATAATGAGTGTGGAAGAAGAAAGCAGTGTAAAGTCGGATTGTAGTTCTATTAGAAATTGTTCTATGATTTGGACTAGAAAAGAAAAAAAATGTGCTTTTGGGCTTATTTGGAGAATAAAGGAGAATAAATAATAAACATATTGCAAATTTTTTCTTTTTAAGAGTCAAGTTTGTAGTATTTTAAGCCTCAATGTGCTTGAAAACTTTTGTTCATATTTTCTTTTTTTCACAGTTATAATAATAGCTTGCTGATGATGCTTTTATAGATACTGCTTCCTAATTTCACCGCTAGAAACAACTTTGATTGTCCTGCTGGAAACCTCAGAATTTAGAAAAATTTATGTATAAAAAGGAAGCAGTTTTAAATCAAATTTCAGTCTTTTAAAAAACTGTCTTATAATGTGAACAGAGATAAAAGAAAGTGAAGAATTGACTTTTGAGCCTTTTTGAAAATAAACCAGTTCAATGGACCTCTAGATAGGGTATTATGCTGGGGTTAAATTATAACACCTTATCAAAAATTTTACAAAGAATACGATGGTCGCATTAAAACTTTCTAAAATCCAATAATCAGTTACAAAATAATGGGCTTTGTTTATGCTACTTCACTCTTCCTGCTAACGGAAAACTGCTATTTTGGTGAAGAAGCATGATTTTTGGTGCTGTTTAATTCTGTCTAGCAGTTCATCAAGTAATTCACTTTTGTTCCAGAACTCGACAACCCTCTGTGATATTTATTGATGAAATTGACTCCTTACTTAGTCAGCGTAGCGATACTGAACATGAGAGCTCTCGCCGAATGAAGACTGAATTTCTCGTTCAGCTTGATGGAGCGACAACAGGAGATGATGACCGCATTCTAATAATCGGAGCAACCAACCGCCCCCAAGAGTTAGATGAAGCTGCACGTCGTCGCCTGATCAAACGATTGTACATCCCTCTCCCAGACAAGCCTGCCAGAGTTCAAATCATCACCCGGCTCATGGCTTCAGAACGCAATGACTTAACACATGAGCAGGTTGACGAGATCAGTGATTTGACCGATGGTTATTCTGGGGCAGACATGAAATGTGTTTGCAAAGAAGCCTCGCTAGAGCCGATTCGATCGATTGACATCTCGAAGATCAAACATATCTCAGCACTCGATGTGAGGCCAATCACGATTGATGATTTTAGAGCAGCTTTGTCACGGGTCAAGTCAAGTGTTTCTGCCAAAGATTTAGACCAGTATCTTGAGTGGGACAAATTGTTTGGATCCGGTAAATAAGTTGCCATTAGTGTTTCAAGTTTTTATCCCACTTTGTAATGGTTTTACCACTCTTTGTGAGAGGAGGGAATAAGAATTGTTAGGACATTCTTCTTGTCTTCCAGAAATCTAAAGTTTTTTATCACGTCTAGTTCAAAAAATAAAAAATCTGATGCAACCGTCAGAATAAATCTATTGTAACTTCAATTTTTTTATAGGTACCTACCTCTTCATACTCACAACACGTAATACTCTCCAGTTCTTAATATAATGAAAAACCAGTGAATGGTCCTAATGTTTACAGAATAACCCACAAAATGAAGGAGGACCAGTGAAAACTCCAAGAAATAACTTTCCTTTCTATGGGAAAGAGAAATTTTATAACAAATCTGCAGTTGCAAATCGAGATGTATCAATGATGAAACTCCTAAACCTCGTATCTTGTTTGCCGTATTTTAAAATCTCTGCTCTACTTATATTTACTTAAATTTGAACAAACTCAACATCATTCCTTGAAGTTTTCAAAAATTTTCTTTGGCCAGAGAAATAAAATCTCAGAAGTTTTTGAAAATTTATTTAGAGCAGTTTTCCATTTAAAAAGTAAAGTATGACAGGAAGTCTGCAACATTGCAAACTGAGATTACGTCGTTTGGGAGTCTCGTTGATATGTTTTGAGACTTTCAAAATGGACACATGGGATATAAAACTGAGAAAAGCAACTTTAATTTTCAAAATCAATTTATGGTATGTACAAAATCTTTCATTTCTCCAGTCCTATTCTTTAGTTTTACCATAATGTTGTTTATCTGTTGGTCATCATATGGTCTAAAAGCTATCGTTTCTCAGGTGCTATTAATTAGTTTAACTACAATACCTTTCACTTGTTTCTTTTGAAATTGTCTTATCTGCAGTTTATTTTATGATTTTCCTTTTGATGGGGGCCTTCCATTTTATACTGAAATAAAAGTATTCGAATTTGTAAATTAGCTTAGTAATTTAATATGTTAACCTTCTAATTATCACAAAAACTGAAACCGCCATCACCCTCTGTTTTTTCTCTGAGGGACAACTTGTAAACAAAATCATCACAACCTTGGAATGGATTAGTAAAGATTTTGATGGAAAACGACTTTAAAGACCTTAAAGAACTTGAAACTTGACTTTATTGACTTTAAAGAGCGACTTTCTTCCTATGAAAGTAATAGGAAAATCGAATCTTCAAGTTTCATCGTATATTCTCTCCAAGCTCATCTGAAGCACAAAAATGATACTTCGGCTTAGGGATGTCGATACTTATCCGATACTTGCAAAGTATCGATACTTAACGATACTCGGCATCGATACTCCACGATATTGATACCATGCAGTATCGATGCCAAGACCCCAGTATCGACGGTATGGATACTTAATCTGATTTGGCCATGAAGAAGGCCTCTTTTTCTTTTTTAAAAAATTCTCTCCCCACTATTTCACCTTCATGATGCACTGTGACAAACGACGAAGTAATCAAGTTTCTCAAGATGATTATACTTCAATAAAAATGGTAAAAGCTCAGTTCGATAACTGTAGTTAAGGGCTCAAAATAGTTGACTAAGGACGCGAACAGGGCTTTTTCGAGAGAGGCGTAAATCTGGCGGAATTTAACGGCCGACAGACACATGCACTCTCAGAATCACGGCATAATTCAGAAATAGTATCGATGGTATCGATACCTCATAAGTATCGATACTTCAGCTCGATGATCGATACCGGTATCGATGCTTAGAGTCAATACCAGTATCGATACCGAGTATCGATACTTCCCTGAGTATCGACATCCCTACTTCGGCTCACAAAACGAACACTTTGATTTCTTGACCAGTTTATTTCCCCGTATTACATCTTGAAAAAATAAGAGCCAGCGAATACCTGGGCAGTAAATAGAACCAGTACCAGGAAAACCAGTATCATTTTAAAAAAAAAAAAATTAGTTAAGCATAATTTTGAGCTAATTAAGAGGCACTTCTCCTGTTAAAATTTAATTTCTGCAAAGATATTTCGCATATAATTAGAAAACGGACTTTCAGTTTGTTTTATACATTGAGCCTCACGGAAGGATAAAACTTCAACCCCATTTTAAACTCATATCCTTGGTTTCCTTCCGCTTAGACATTCCTCGTTAGTTCCTAGAATTTTCAGGATATTGTGCTTGTATCACACCATCAGGTACGTTAGATGTAAATTGAAATATTAAAGATGAAGATTTTTGTATTTTTAACTTTGAACCTGAGAAAAGATGAATAATATTGGGCTTTAAAAGATTCTGAATCGCGAAGAAAGTTGACATAATTCAGTTACACATCTCTCAGGGCTTACACAGGGTTCATTACAGCTTTGGATAATAGATGTATCGGGCATATGAAAATATTTTCGGGGACCTACAAAAATTTTGTTAATATAATTAAAGAATGACTAAATGATAAATTCCTTCTCCCTGTACCTTCACTTTCTGTTATTCATACAAAGAGAGGCAAATTAGTATTCAAGGCTAACACTGAATCTAACGTTGCACTCAACTCTGCAGGAAAGGAAAAATGGCAACTAAGAATCTTTCAAAGGTCGCAGAAATAATAACTGAATAATGGGAATTCAGGGACTTAAAATTCGAAAAATATTTGTAGCATATTCAAGGGGTTTTCACAGCGTTACAAACTGTTTCAATTTTAACTTTTATCAATATCAACCCCTCGCTAAGCGAGTGTTTTAACCTCGCAAGGTCACAGTTGTTTTTCTCATCTTGAGAAATGTGACTTGCAGGGATACGTAACGACTGGATGCAGGCTAATTAGATTCAGATCTGGTTGGTGAGAAATAAGGAAGTGACTTTAACAGCAGCTAATTATATAAAACAGAGATCCTTTATTTCAGTTATTTTAAGTTAAGTCGTACATATTAATGATTTAAGTTATTAAAAACTTTGAAATAATAATTTATCAAAGAGATATTTAAAAACATACATGTAGGTATTTAGAGGGATGAGAACAGTAATACTCTTATGAAAAATACAACAAGGGCACAGGAAAGTTATTGCGTGCTCTCAAATTTAGATCGCAAAAAAAAAAATCAGAAAACTGACTACTGGCTGTACAAATTTTATGTTGGGGCTGGGGAGTGGACGTAAAATTTCTGAAGAAGCAAGAAATTGAACTTGGTGATTCAGGTTTTTTTTTTATAAAAGATTTTAAAAAACAGGTTGACCGATGAAAACTAATTTCAAGGAAACTAAAGAGTACCGGGGTAAATAAGAGGAATTCATGTCAAGGATTGGCAAAATCGTATTTTACAATGAATTGTAGGCACTCTATGTTATACAGCATTGCATTTACAACAATCGAAAACTTCACACCACAACTGGCTTAGAATAAACACAGCAGTAAGGGAGGGGAAAAAAAAAAAAATGTGGAAGGAAGCGCGCGGGAGAGCTATAAAACAAATGTGCACTGAAATTTAAGTATGTTACAGCAGTATCGACTACAACTTTTATGCCTCTTTTTGGTATTTAAACTTGAGAACAGAAAAATTAGAACTTGTGAAAAAATGTTTGTTCAGAGTTGTAGTTCGAGACAAAAGATGACGTAAAAAAATATTATCAATGCTGACAGTTTCATATGATAGGTATTATCCAATAACTAGCCAGAAATAACAATTTATGATACAGGTCAATTCTACATTTATGGCAAATTATCAAATATATTCTTTACACTGCTGTATTTGGTAATACCTGCTTCATAATTACTCAATCAAGATAAATTACTCACGTCACACTGATTTCTTATGTGCTCTCAATTTTTGGAGCACATGTCTCTTTCAGAATATTCTTAGGTCATAAAATTTTAACAAATTACATTATCATATCAAACGGTAAGTTAAATTACAAAGAAAAAAAAAAGAAAAAAAAGATGCAAAAATTTTGAACTACAATCGGTTTATATGAGGGAGAGGAAAGTAAACCAAATAGGAATGAACTTAAAATAAAATTACAAGTATAATAATATAATATTATTATGAAAAAATTTAAATAAAATAAAAGTTTGAATATATATTCAATTTAAAGAAAAAAAACACAGAAGAAAAAATAGGGGAGGGGGAATAAGACATGGGACGAAAAGAAGAAAGAAAGAAAATCTCCCTATGAAATAAATTAAGATTATACAGGCTTTTGAGTTCCTTTTTTGCCAATAAGTGACTTGTGAATGTGAGGAATGACACCTGAAACACACATAAAAATCAAAAGGCAAGTGAATAAATGTTGAAAGAAATAAGAGTGCGAATAATCGCAAAATATTTTGAGGGGAAAATTTTTTAGAAAAACAATTTTTGTAACATGATGCTTTTTCGATTTACAAATCAAATTCTCTCTAGGGTCCAAAAGAATTGTGTGATTAAGTTGCAAGCAGACTAGATCAATTGGGTGCCAACATAAGTAGAGGGTATTATGTCGCCTCACGATAAGGTAAGTTTACACTAAAAACAACCGGTTAGAATTTTGATAGAAAGCTGAGAACTACAAATTTGAGCCTCAATCTTCCAATGGTCATAGCTCCTATTTGGTTCGAGGTTTTGGGGCGTTTTTGTCCCACAATGTGCGAATACTCCTCTGTATTCTCACATTAATAATATGACTGTCAGTTTTTGACGACCAAGGCCTCTTCTACTAATTGAGTTGGATAGGAGATCTGATAGCCAACTAGTTCAACTCATGGTTGCAATGCAATTTCCCTAAGGTCCCTGATGAATTTTGAGGGAATTCCCTAACATTTCAGTAAATTCCAGATGGTTGCGAATACATAATTTAAAATAGTTTTCACACAAGTTTTCTAGTTCGAAACATCAAGTCATTCTAGAATGAAAATAAAGATCGATACAACAATTTTTCCATTACATCCCCGGATTTTACCTGATTTTACAGGAGTTCGAACATTTGTCACAGAATAAAAAAAAAAAAAAACAAACAAACAAGAAAAACAAAGATATGGATAAAAAATAACTTACCACCACCAGCAATGGTTGCTTTGATCAGACTGTCCAATTCTTCATCTCCTCTGATAGCTAATTGTAAATGTCTGGGCGTGATACGCTTTACCTTCAAGTCTTTTGATGCATTGCCAGCCAATTCCAAAACCTAAAATACCAAACAAATAGGTCAATCAATCTTTCAACGTAAACAATTAACTTCAGAAAGATTCAACATCCATATTTTGATGAAGTTGGCTTTTCATAGAATCATGGTGGATTTACTGCAAATGCAGCAAATTACAGTGAATGTTGACAGAGACACGATGATAGGTTTCAAGAAATGTCATTGTAAGAAGTGAAATTAATCTTAAGTAGAAGTTGAATTTAAGGGGGAGAATATATTAGATTCGAACGTAAAATCTTGGGTTGGTCACATATTAATGCCCCAACTCAAAGGCCACTAATCTCAATACAATTGTTTCAAAATTTGCACTGACGCTACATTCAGTCAAGAAGAAAAAACAAATTCATCATTTTGGCTTGAAAGTCTGACACAAAATAACAAAATGGTACAAATATTATAAAACATTTTCAAACGATGACGTTGATTTGCTAGTCTCGCTGAAATATTTTAATGGGTTGGATTTAGGGAAATTCAGAAAGTAATTACATGGTTCGTACGGCCTCAAGATAAAAAAATCAAGCACTTTTTCGTTATTTTTTCTGAGCGCAACATTTTCCCCGGTATCGTGATTTTCTACAGTGAAAATTTTGTCCGTCTTGTTCCCCACAGCTTCCTTTTTTTTTTTTTTTTTTTTTTTTTTTTTTTTTTTTTTTTTTTTTTTTTTATCATTATCATGTGTTCACAAGGTATGTAACTTATACTAGCTCGATCTCGGTGTTCAACAACATGTAATAAGTGAATCGGGGAGATTATCTGGTTCTGGTTTCCGAAAGGTGAAATTTTTCCATGGTGAAGGGTGGCGGTGAAGGATTGTAGGTGTGATTAATTTATTGAAATTAATTATTTAGGTACCTAAATCTTTCACTTCTTTCAAAAAATAAACAAAAAATAAATAAATAAAAAATGGCTTAGCAGCACTGAATCAAATATATTTGACTCTACAGGAATTCAAAATTAGTTCAAGACCTAGGAGACACATTGGCCAGGAAATTACATAAAAAACAAGGAAGTACAAAATTTTACATGCTAACTATGTAGTAATGAGGGAGATTGTGGAGAAATTATAAACAGAGGATGAAATCAGCCATTTTCGCCGTGTCGACAATAGATCGCAATTTCCTTCGTTAATCGGATGTCTTTCGAAACAATTTGTTTACCGTCTTTGTTTTTTCCTTACAGAGAGCATTAACCACTGAAAATAAGGGATTTCCAGCACTTTTCAAGCACCCTCCCCAAAAGTCAAGCACTTTCAAGGCCTTGAAAAATAATTCCAAATTCAAGCACTTTTCAAGGCTGCAATGTATTAACCTGTTGAGTAGTGCTGATTTAGAGTTAATCATGAATTAATGTTTGTCTCAACATACAACGAACCAATCCAAAGCTGAAGGAGATGTGAGGAAAGTTCGTCATTTCATAGTGATGGATTCATATTGATCGAAACTTACAAAAACCACGAAGCACAAGATAGTTAGATTTCTCATGGTGCACTGGATAAATTGAAAAAACATGAAAAATTGGGGTGGAAACGCAACATTTTTTTCTTTCGACTGCGTTAGACTGCTGAAGCTATCTTAACTGCTACGTTATTTACCCTACACTTAGTACATTGAAAAATCTCTATCAACTTGGCTTGGGAATAGAGTTTTAAGTGAGTCACTGAAAACTAATTTAGATGTCTTTTGATGATAGCAGAATTGGGGGCATACATCTGTTCTCAACTGCCCTACCATCATCGATGACAAGATTAGAGGGAAAATTACATCACTCAGTAGGAAAAGAAAAAAGATTGAAGAACAAATATAGCATAGAAAACAAAGAGAGGTACAGAGAAAATCTGTGAATACTTACTTCAGCGGTTAGATATTCCAGGATAGCTGCACTATAGACAGCGGCAGTAGCTCCAACTCGACCATGACTTGTAGTTCTGTTTTTGAGATGTCTGTGAATACGACCAACGGGGAACTGGGGAAGAAAACAAAATGATATGAGACAGAGCAAATGGGACAAAAGAGATAACACATGAGAGAGATTCTGAAAGAAATTGAAGAGAGGGTTATGAGTCTTCTATCAGCTTGATAAGTTGCGACATCAACCGGTTCGTTTGCAAGAGAAATCAGGCTGAGTTGAGGAGGATGGATTAGGGTATGGGTACAAAACTGCGCCCAAGAAACTTTCAGAAAGATATGCGAATGTCCAATGAGCGAGTATGTAACTCAGATAATTCAGAGATAGCAAGAAATCAGGATGAGGTCTGTCACAAGGCTCAGTCACATTTTAGGCCACTGTCACGAATGTCGCATTCTGAGCCGGAAGTGCGGCTCGTAGGTTTCTCCAGTACAGATAGACAAAAAATGAGTAAATATGGTAAAAATTACCTGTAATCCTGCTCTCGCAGATCGTGAAACTGCTTTGGCTTTCGATTTGCCCGAATCTTTTCCTGCTTTACCACCAGCCTGCAAATCGACACAAATAGGTTAGATTAAGAGACGAAAATTAATAAAATCCTTCGAGTAATAGGTCAGTGGACTAAATACTAAGTTAAAGAGAGGATGACTGAGTTAATTTAACAATTAACAAAGGATGGAAACCACACTTACCATGTTGAATTAGTTTCGAAATTTCAGGACGAACAACGCTTCACTGTTTACAACACGGGAAAGAAAAGAACAAAACCGCCAAACTCCGCGACCGTTGGGCTCTCCGGCAAGTCACGTGACGAAAAGGACCAATCACAAGGCTAGCTTTTGAAAATCGTCCCTCCACAAAGAAGCCTCTTCCCGCGCTCCTTATCGATTTTACTGTTTTCGAAAATCAAAAAGGAGGGAAAAGTGGTACTAGACACAAAAACCCGGTACATACTTCCAAGCCGCTTTCGCTCATTATCCAATTATTATAATTTGTAGTCGTGAGTCCTCTCGCCAGGGCTTCCAACAAAGGTGTAAGCTAGACAACATTTGACACTTTCATTCCAAAACAAATGACTGTCAATTATTTATTACAGAATATATAAATATGCGCTGTGCTGTATTGACGGCGCAAAATCTGCAACCACGTATCTCGTTTGCGGCGTTTGAAAATCTCCGCTCCCATTTCATTTTTTTAGAGGAGAACAACTCGACATCATTCTTTGAAGTTACCGCAGAATATTCTTGACACTGAGAAGAAAAATCACGGCAGTTTTTTAGAATTGCCGCTAAGTAGTTTTTTCATTTAAAAAATAAAGTGTGACAGGAAGTCTACGACGTCGCAAACCGAGATTCATGGTTGCGGACTTACACCGTCGATATGCTATTTTCCCATAATATTTGAAAAGAAGCATGGTTAAAAGCTATTTTCCCCGTTTTGCTATTTATTTATTTATTTTATTATTTTTTCACGTTTCTTCTTAAGACTACCTGCATATACCTGCGGATAAAGTACCTATCCGTTTTTTGATAAAAAATACAAATTGCACTTTGATTAGCCTCTTTTTTTACATACGCATATTCAAAAAATTCCCATCACCTAAACAAAATTAAAAATTCTTCAAGTAACTTTGTTGTAGCGTACGTAGTTCTCGGATCTCGATTACCTGATCCTTGACTTGAAAGCAAAACAAGTTTATCCTTCATCATTTTTTATTATTTTCCTTCATAGCAATGTTAAGTATTAATACAGCGTTTATGTGGCTATATTAACAAATATTTAAAATTAAAAAAAAAAATGATAATAAAAATAGAGCTCTCGCCGTGAGCGGTGAGGGGGGGGGGGGGGC